CCCTCACCCCCAGACGCAGCACCCCCAGACTCCGCACCAGCACCCCCAGACTCCGCACGACCAGTACCAGCCCCCGGAAGACAAGAGTCCTCTGCAACCCGCGGCTCAGCTCCAACTCCAGCACCCCCAGAACCAGAGACCTGTACAGGGACAGTCGCAGGACCAACCTCCCGAGAGGGAGCACCTGCAGGAGGCGGCGAGGAAGACTGTGGGGAGGGAGGCTGTACAGGGGGGGCTACCGAAGGGGGAGGGCTAGCCTGAGACACACCAGACGGGGCTGGACCAGGGGGGGGAGGCTGTACCGGGGGAGCAGGCGGGGGAGCGGCTGTCAGGAAGAGGGGGGGAGGAGGAACCGGGAGACCTCGACTGGGGTACCTGACGTAGTAGGGGGTGGACTCCTCGAAACGGACGTCACGGGAGTCAAAGAACCGGTGAGAGGGAGGGTGGTAAAAGGTGAAGTCAGAGGAGTCCTCAGGGAAACCAAGGAAGACACAAGAAACGGCGCGAGGCGAGAGCTTGTCCGCGGAGGTGTCGCGGACAAGAGCCAAGCACCCCCAGACACGAAACCTCGACGCGACACCAGGGGACCCTGTCCAAAGACTGGTCGGTGAAGCCTCCGGCCGAGAGACGCGTGGCCAGAGGTTCAGCTGGTGCGCGGCGTACCTGACTGCGTATGGCCACAGGAAATGGGGGGCACGGGCGTGAGTCAAGGAGGTGCGGGCAATCTCCATGACCAGGCCTATGCGACGCTCAGCAACCCCATTCTGCTGTGGGGACTCCGGAAGCGTCCAGGACTGACGAATGCCCTGTTCGCGACAGAATCCAGCGAGAATGCCGGAGCGAAACTCGCCCCCGCGGTCGGAGTGGAGACAGCTGACACGACGACCACGAGTGTCCTGGGTGGTAAGCAACCACCTGATCAGCGTAGAAGTCACCTCAGACTTCCTCGCCAGGGGGAACACTGTGGTGTAGCGGGAGTAGTCGTCAACGACCACCAAAAAGAAACGCTCACGCTCAGGGCCAGGGCGAGGAGAGGGGCCCCAGACGTCCAAGTGCAGTGTCTCAAAAGGCTCGGTGGCCGGACGAAGGGAGGAGGAGTGAGGGGTGGCACGCAGCCTACCCTCGACGCAAGGACCGCACGGTGGTGCAAGGGACGGCGGCAGCGACGGCAAGACACGCGGGAGACCTAAGACCAGACGCTGACTAGACATAGCACGCAGACGTGGAAGAGAAGGGTGTCCCAGCCGGTGGTGCCACAGAACGGTGGGGTGGGCAAGCGACCGACAGGAGCAAGACGCAGCGACTGGACTGGACGCGACAACCTGAGAGGACGGAACCACCTGGTGAGACGCAGGGAGGAGACTAGGGGGAGGGACAGGAACTGGGAGGAGGGGCTGCTGTGACGGCGGCCGCTGTGGCTGCGGCTGCTGCTGCTGCTGCAGTCGCTGCTGAGCGCGCGGGCCAGTGTGAAGAGTGTAGAGACCGGAGCCCGGCTCAGCAGCAAAAGTGGCGAGGGGCTGGTAAGAGTCCCCGTCAACACACACCGCAGTCTCTCCAGAAGGCTCAAACCACACACCCACGTGCTGACTCACAAGGGGTCGCACGCCCACCAAGTTCCGGGAGAACGAGGGGACGTGAAACCCAGTGAGAGACCCAGAAGGAGCAGCCGGACACGGCAAGGTGGTAGTGTGACGCGCGGTGACTGGTCCCGAAGTGGGATCAGCCAGCGCCACAGAAACAGGCGCAGGAAGAGGCGTAAGTGTCGTGCTGTCACGAAAGAAGCAGTGAGAGGCTCCAGAGTCCAGCGTGAACGACAGCGAACCGTCCTCTGAGGTAGCCGCTGGACTAGAGTCTACACAAGAACCTACACTAGCAACAGGCAACTGAGCAAGGCTAGCACCTAAGCTAACAACACCAGAGTAAGCAGAGTCAGAAACACTAGAGTCAACAACAGCATACATAGCATGAGGAGCACCAATCAGATCAACTAACTGCTCAGCAGACATGCCCCACAGAGCGGAGCCGTAGCGCTGAACCAGAGGAAGCCAGTCAAGGGCAGGACCGCCAACCCCGTAGGCCAACCGGACCGTGTCAGTGAGCTGAGCAAAGCACTGACCAGGGGGGTGAAAGCGGCCACAAGGGTGGCCCCGACGAGGACCTGTCAGAACCTGATAGGTGCAGGGAGGGTAAGCAGCACCACGCTGGGGCTGACGCAGCCCCGACCCCGGAGCCAGCTGCTGACGCTGCTGCTGCTGAGGCTGCTGGGAGGAGAGGGGCTGCTGCTGCTGCTGAAGCCGCTGCTGACGCTGAGCCTGGTACCACGCCGCTGCTCCACCTAGCGGGGCCGGCAGTACAGGAGACGACTGACGAGCTCGGGCGTCGCCACCACCAGCAGGCGCAGTGGAGTCACCAGCCGCTGCACGAGAGGTCTCTCCAGACGCTGCACTCCCACCACCGCCAGTCGCAACAGCACCCCCACTACCTCCGCTACCTCCGCCTCCACCTCCACCAGAACCACCTTTCTTGCCCCCCTTGCCGCGGGACCGCGACGCAGTCGTAGCAGCAGCTGCAGTCGCGTCAGTAGCGGCAGTGGCAAGAGAGGCAGTGAAGGTGGGTAACTGCGGGACTGTGCACCCGTGGAAGAGTGGGGGGGGGCACAGCACCAGAGGCGGCAGCTACCGAGCGAAGGTTGCTCTCGACGTCCTTGAGCGCAGACTCAAGGACCTCAACTGTCAGCTCACTAGGGTGCTTCAGCAGGAGCGCGTCACGTACGGAGGCAAGGCGGTCAGGGAGGCTAGTGGCGATGAAATAGATAGTAATCGCCATGGGGGGAGGAAGCAGTGCAAGCTGTGCCTCAGTGCAAGCAGCGCGGTAACTAGCGTCGAGCGAGCGGAGGTGAGCGATCAAGTCAGCAGAGCGCTCAAACGAGGCGAGATCAGGAAACAGGAACGGGAGGAAAAGACGGCCAAGAGAGACAGTAGCGGGAGTAGAGTAGCGGGCCTTAATCGTAGTGAGGTACGCAGCAGCGGTGCGAACCTGAGTGAAGTGGACCTCCTCTGACTCAGGGAGGAGGCTGCTGAGTGCGATGCAGGCCGCAGCGTCACGTGACGTCCAAGCCGTCCTGTCAGCGCGCTGACGGGCAAAGCGAGCCGTAGCAGCATCGTCAGGGGCAGGACCTAAAGCGGCAGGCTCGGGGGGCTCGGGGAGGTCACCAGTAGCGTGCGACCAGAGGGTCTCGCCCCCCTGGACTTGACTCTCTAACAGACGGCGAGCACGAAGAAGCCAGACGGAAAAGTCAAGAGGTCTACCGTCAGCGTCGAAACGAAGAACTCGCGGAGTCGCCATAGCGAAAACTAACGCGAACGAGCAGGCGAGTAACAGCAGGAGGTAAGAGGCAAATTAGGGTGCAGGTGGGACTTAGTCGCAGCGGAAGAGCGGGCTAGAGCGACGGGCCAGGGCGTAGGGTCGACGGGACGGGGGAAAGGGCGGGCACGATGCGACGGGGCAGGGCGACGCGACGGGGGAGGGCGACGCGACGGGGGAGGGCGACGGGACGGGGAAGGGCGACGCGACGGGGCAGGGCGACGGGACGGGGAAGGGCGACGCGACGGGGCAGGGCGACGGGACGGGGCGACGGGACGGGGCAGGGGCAGGGCGACGGGACGGGACGGGGACGGGACGGGGCAGGGGCGACGGGACGGGACGGGGACGGGACGGGGCAGGGGCGACGGGACGGGACGGGGCGACGGGACGGGACGGGGCAGGGCGACGGGACGGGACGGGGACGGGACGGGGCAGGGGCGACGGGACGGGACGGGGACGGGACGGGGGAAAGGGCGCGACGCGACGGGGGGAAAGAGCGCGACGCGACGGGGGGAAAGGGCGCGACTCGACGGGGGGGAACGGGCGCGACGCAACGGGGGGAAAGGGCGCGACGTGACGGGGGGGGAAAGGGCGCTAGGCGACGGGGGGAAGGGCGCTAGGCTCGGCACTAGGCGCGGTAACAACGGAACCGGTACGAACGAGAGGTAGGATCAGGCTCGGGAGATACGAACGGAGAACGGAGGAACGGGATCCCACAGGATCCTAACCTAACTGATACCATGTCAGAATGAGGAATGGATGATGCATTGATGTTGGTTGGGGTACATATAGCTAACCCTAAGTTTTGTACCCCCTAAGACAAACCTCACTATAGGCTACAACATTTGACACCGCATCCAATGCAGGGTTCGAATGTGAAGGGAACCGAATCTGCAACAGATTCGCCTGCTAAAGTAAAATTCGTTACAGATATTTGAACACATTTTAAAATTTAAAGTTTACGTGTGCTTATAATAAAACAAGTTTTTTCAGGGGGTGCGCTTATAATCGAGCAACGCATATAAGCGCCACGCGCCAATTAAAAGCGCCAGGCGCTTATCCGAGGGTGGCGCTTATATCCGGGGTATGACGGTATCGCATTCACGCAATACTGGTTACGTTCTTCACTATTTTTTATTCGCTCATGTCATCGCTCCCAATGTACTGTACTACTTTCTTGACTTGACCCCTTGGTACAAGCCTCAACCACTCCTCCCATTTCACTCATACGGTAACAGCTCCACTGGGCTATGAAGCCTTGTGTGCTTGTCATGCGTAAATTCTCCCACAAAATGCACAAGCGATTATGACTTGCATCCTCCTACACGAGATGCAGAACCCCTCCAATCAATCAGCTACTGGAAGTAGCTTAGTTCAAATACTCTATGGACACCTCGATGGGTAAGGCATATACGGTATTGTAGTTGCTTCAAGTTGTCAGTACCACCACCACCACCCACTACTGGAGTTTTGCCAGCAGGCCGCGCTAGTTTGGCTCTGGTAACAGGTCCATGGTCTCAGTCCCTGATGCCATGGGATACTGGGTGACATTAGCGTGGGGACCCTATATGTTTGTACTGCACCGCACTGCACTGCACTGCACTGCACTGAACGGCTTGCTACTCCATAGGTACATGCTACGGTTTTCCCAAAGCCGACGCCAGCCGAGCCAAGCCCAAGCTCCCCGAACCTCCTGCTGCGGCACGGCGGCGGTACAGCCGAAGCGCAACAGCACTGGCAACCAGCGGGCATGCAACAGCGAGGGCGAGATAGGCCAGGTGCCATCTGGGGGAGGTTGCACCTGCCCAACCGGGGGAGGCTGCAGCTGCGAAGAGGTCGGTGGAGGGTGCGTAAGACGGGGAGGCGGGGGGGTGGTGCGGCAAGTGCAGGTGGTGGTGTGGGAGGTGGGTTGGTTGCTCTTGGTTGAGGTTGTGCTGGTTGTTGGCTGTTGCTGGATCGGCGTCCCCAGACTGCGTGGGATGGGGGGGAGTGACAGGGAGAGGGGGGAAGGAGAGGGCCACTATTGAAAAGACTCAATGGGAGGTGGGTTGGGTGCTCTTGGTTGGGGTTGTGCTGGTGGGTGGCTATTGCTGTATCAGAGTCCTCAGACTGTGCGGGTTGGGGGGGAGTGACAGGGAAGGGGGGGACAAGAGGACGTGGGTTGGGTGCTCTTGGTTGGGGTTGTGTTGGTGGGGAGGTGTTGCTGTATCAGAGTCCTCAGACTGTGCGGGTTGGGGGGGAGTGCGAGGTGGGAGAATAAGAGGTTGGGTGGTTTGAACGTTTGGAGACAAGTAAGGAGCTGTGCAATGCGGTTGTGTTGGGTGGACGAACGGAAATGCAAGTGAGCCAGGGGATGGCTGACGCATGCTGCAAGGAATAGACGTGATTTAGCCTCGGAAGGGATTGGGGATGGGGAAGTGAAGGGTTGGAAAGAACTAGCAAGTTCCGGCCGTTGATCACACCTTGTGCTGACGCATGGGCGCCGTTGATCGGCGAGCGGAGTGAGGCGATTGAAAAGCTGCGAGATACGATGTTGGGAAACAGAAAGGTAGGGGGATGAAGAGGTGAACTCCAAGAGGAGAGTATGATGAGGTGCACGTGTAACTCAGAGGAATGATGTGCTGAAGGGGATGACGAGGAAATTGTTAAGAGGCGAATGGTAGCGACCACGTTGAGAGGAGCATAAGAGGAGCGGGTTCTTTTGAGGCAATGTCCGTGTGTGTTCTGAAATGGTGTTGTGTTTGGCTGACTTGGTCGAATCACTAGCTTTTCTTTGAAATCAGCAAAAGCAGGTCAGAGGAGAAAAACTGTTATGGATAGGAGGAGGAACAGTGAGTGAGCAAGGGAAGGGAAAGGGCGTGGAAAGAGCGAGGGAGAAAGAGGGAAAGCAAGCGGGATAAGGAGGGGGAGAGAGCGTGAGAGGAAGGAGAGCGAAAGGTCGAAAGGCAGCTCACTTGGTGGTGATGATTCGAGGCACCGCTGAATCTGCCACACACCATGAGAACAGCAGGGGGAGCTTTTGAGTCGACTCAAGAACAGCAGGGGGAGGCAGGTGGTGAGAGGAAGTGAGAGAGATGCAGCGGAGCGATCTAGTGTAGGAGATGCCAAACAGATAGGAGAGAGCGAAACATGAAACCACCATGTCACACACCCCTCCCACCAACCCCCCATACCTCACTCATCTTATTCACTCCCTTCACACCACCCATCCTTTGCACACCCTCCCACATTCCCCCCATATACCTTGCTCATGAGCTTGCACACCACCACCATACCTTGCTCTCCCCTTTCGCACCAACCATACCTTGCTCTCCCCTTTCGCACCAACCATACCTTGCTCTCCCCTTTCGCACCAACCATACCTTGCTCTCCCCTTTCGCACCAACCATACCTTGCTCTCCCCTTTCGCACCAACCATACCTTGCTCTCCCCTTTCGCACCAACCATACCTTGCTCTCCCCTTTCGCACCAACCATACCTTGCTCTCCCCTTTCGCACCAACCATACCTTGCTCTCCCCTTTCGCACCAACCATACCTTGCTCTCCCCTTTCGCACCAACCATACCTTGCTCTCCCCTTTCGCACCACCCATACCTTGCTCTCCCCTTTCGCACCAACCATACCTTGCTCTCCCCTTTCGCACCAACCATACCTTGCTCTCCCCTTTCGCACCAACCATACCTTGCTCTCCCCTTTCGCACCAACCATACCTTGCTCTCCCCTTTCGCACCAACCATACCTTGCTCTCCCCTTTCGCACCAACCATACCTTGCTCTCCCCTTTCGCACCAACCATACCTTGCTCTCCCCTTTCGCACCAACCATACCTTGCTCTCCCCTTTCGCACCAACCATACCTTGCTCTCCCCTTTCGCACCAACCATACCTTGCTCTCCCCTTTCGCACCAACCATACCTTGCTCTCCCCTTTCGCACCAACCATACCTTGCTCTCCCCTTTCGCACCAACCATACCTTGCTCTCCCCTTTCGCACCAACCATACCTTGCTCTCCCCTTTCGCACCAACCATACCTTGCTCTCCCCTTTCGCACCAACCATACCTTGCTCTCCCCTTTCGCACCAACCATACCTTGCTCTCCCCTTTCGCACCACCCATACCTTGCTCTCCCCTTTCGCACCAACCATACCTTGCTCTCCCCTTTCGCACGAACCATACCTTGCTCTCCCCTTTCGCACCAACCATACCTTGCTCTCCCCTTTCGCACCAACCATACCTTGCTCGCCCCTTTCGCACCAACCATACCTTGCTCTCCCCTTTCGCACCAACCATACCTTGCTCTCCCCTTTCGCACCAACCATACCTTGCTCTCCCCTTTCGCACCACCCATACCTTGCTCTCCCCTTTCGCACCACCCATACCTTGCTCTCCCCTTTCGCACCACCCATACCTTGCTCTCCCCTTTCGCACCAACCATACCTTGCTCTCCCCTTTCGCACCAACCATACCTTGCTCTCCCCTTTCGCACCACCCATACCTTGCTCGCCCCTTTCGCACCAACCATACCTTGCTCTCCCCTTTCGCACCACCCATACCTTGCTCTCCCCTTTCGCACCACCCATACCTTGCTCTCCCCTTTCGCACCACCCATACCTTGCTCTCCCCTTTCGCACCACCCATACCTTGCTCTCCCCTTTCGCACCACCCATACCTTGCTCTCCCCTTTCGCACCAACCATACCTTGCTCTCCCCTTTCGCACCACCCATACCTTGCTCTCCCCTTTCGCACCACCCATACCTTGCTCTCCCCTTTCGCACCACCCATACCTTGCTCTCCCCTTTCGCACCACCCATACCTTGCTCTCCCCTTTCGCACCACCCATACCTTGCTCTCCCCTTTCGCACCAGCCATACCTTGCTCTCCCCTTTCGCACCACCCATACCTTGCTCTCCCCTTTCGCACCAACCATACCTTGCTCTCCCCTTTCGCACCACCCATACCTTGCTCTCCCCTTTCGCACCACCCATACCTTGCTCTCCCCTTTCGCACCACCCATACCTTGCTCTCCCCTTTCGCACCACCCATACCTTGCTCTCCCCTTTCGCACCACCCATACCTTGCTCTCCCCTTTCGCACCACCCATACCTTGCTCTCCCCTTTCGCACCAACCATACCTTGCTCTCCCCTTTCGCACCAACCATACCTTGCTCTCCCCTTTCGCACCAACCATACCTTGCTCTCCCCTTTCGCACCAACCATACCTTGCTCTCCCCTTTCGCACCAACCATACCTTGCTCTCCCCTTTCGCACCACCCATACCTTGCTCTCCCCTTTCGCACCACCCATACCTTGCTCTCCCTTTCGCACCACCCATACCTTGCTCTCCCCTTTCGCACCACCCATACCTTGCTCTCCCCTTTCGCACCACCCATACCTTGCTCTCCCCTTTCGCACCACCCATACCTTGCTCTCCCCTTTCGCACCACCCATACCTTGCTCTCCCCTTTCGCACCACCCATACCTTGCTCTCCCCTTTCGCACCACCCATACCTTGCTCTCCCCTTTCGCACCACCATACCTTGCTCTCCCCTTTCGCACCACCCATACCTTGCTCTCCCCTTTCGCACCACCCATACCTTGCTCTCCCCTTTCGCACCAACCATACCTTGCTCTCCCCTTTCGCACCACCCATACCTTGCTCTCCCCTTTCGCACCACCCATACCTTGCTCTCCCCTTTCGCACCACCCATACCTTGCTCTCCCCTTTCGCACCACCCATACCTTGCTCTCCCCTTTCGCACCACCCATACCTTGCTCTCCCCTTTCGCACCACCCATACCTTGCTCTCCCCTTTCGCACCACCCATACCTTGCTCTCCCCTTTCGCACCACCCATACCTTGCTCTCCCCTTTCGCACCACCCATACCTTGCTCTCCCCTTTCGCACCACCCATACCTTGCTCTCCCCTTTCGCACCACCCATACCTTGCTCTCCCCTTTCGCACCACCCATACCTTGCTCTCCCCTTTCGCACCACCCATACCTTGCTCTCCCCTTTCGCACCACCCATACCTTGCTCTCCCCTTTCGCACCACCCATACCTTGCTCTCCCCTTTCGCACCACCCATACCTTGCTCTCCCCTTTCGCACCACCCATACCTTGCTCTCCCCTTTCGCACCACCCATACCTTGCTCTCCCCTTTCGCACCACCCATACCTTGCTCTCCCCTTTCGCACCAACCATACCTTGCTCTCCCCTTTCGCACCAACCATACCTTGCTCTCCCCTTTCGCACCAACCATACCTTGCTCAGTTCGCGCACCACCACTGCTGCCACCCTCAGCTGCTCCTCACTCTCAAACCGCAACTGCACCACTGCTGCCCCCCCTGCTCCTGCTCTTCCTGCTGCCCCCCTTCTTCCCCCTGCTCCTCCTGCTCCTCCCACTCCCCCCACTCCTCGCCTTTCCACCCCTCCTCTTCCACCAAAATTCTCTGCATTGCAGATAGTAGACCCGGTTTTCCCTGTCCCAGATACCACCTCCCCCAGGTCGTCCTCCCCACACATGGCGCCTGCAGGGCCCATCTCCCACTCGTCCTCGCCTCCCCCCTCCCCCACTGCGCTCCCCACCTCCCCCTCCTTCCCCTCATCCTCGTCAATAACAGACTCTCTACCGTCTATAGTCCCTGCGAGCACTGACATGCTTACAGTGCTCATCCCCTCCTCCTCATCCTCCTCCTCCTCCTCATCTCCCACCTTTTCTCCTACTTCCTCTCCCCCCACTCCCCTCCCCCCTTCATATTTCCCCACCTGCCCACCACCAGCTGATCCCACCCACTGAACCTTCCCCCGTCCTTCCCCCCTCTCTGCTTCCCTCCCTCCAGCTCCCCCCTCCTCTCCTCCAGCAGCCTTCCCTGTTCCTTCAACACTCCCACTCTCCCCAGCAACCCTCCCTTCCATGTCGCCATTACAAACAGAGCCAGTAGTTGCTGCTGCTGCAGCAGCCGCAGCAGCAGCAGCAGTGGCATTGTTATTAGCAGCACCACTCCCAACCTTCCCACGCTCCTCTCCCTCCTCCCCTTCGATGCTAAAAACCCCAATTGGCCCGCCACGCTTGCCGCCCCTGCCCGTCAGGCTCGGCACGCCGAGCCTCTCCTCCCGAGCCTCTTCCTCCGAGATGTTCCCAAGGGAGGAAGGGGTTCGACGGCGGGCCAGGGAGGTCTGGGAGGGGGAGAGAGGCGAGGAGGAGGAGGGGGGAGGGAGAGTGCCTAGAGCAGCAACAGAGCGGAAGGAGGGGGTGGAGGTGAGGAAAGGGGTGGGTTCCATGAAGTGAGGGTGTTGGTGAGGGGGAGGGTTGGTTGCTGTTGAGGAGACAGGAGGGGCCTGTGGGTGGCAGAAACAAGGGTGGGAGGAGGAGAAAACAGGGGAGGAAGAGTGATGAAAAGGAAAGGGAAAGGCTTTGTGTGTGAATGTGCGGGTGGGGAGGGGGGTTGGTTGCAGTTGAGGAGACAGGAGGGGCCTGTGGTGGGAGCAACAAGGGTGGGAGGAAGAGACCAGAGGGGAGAAAGAATGAGGAAGGGGACACGGGAGGGGTTGGTGATGTGAGGGTGGGTGTGATGGGGCGGGTTGGTTGTTGAGGAGAGACAGGAAGGACCCGGGCGGGCAGAGGGATGGATAACGAGCAGAAGCATGGGCAGAAACGCATTGAAGTGTGGAGGGACAGTGCACAGGTGGAAAAGAATGAGAACCGGGGAACTTATTAGTCGACTAAAAAAGGTGGAGAGAGGTGGGTTCAAACGCATAGGGGTGCAGAGGAAGAGTGCACAGGTGGGAAAGCTTGAGAAGTAGGAAAGGGGAAGGTTCCTGAAATGGGGATGGTTAGAGGGAAACAGTGAGAAAGTAGTGAGAAAGGGAAGGGGTCTATGATATGGGCATATGGGTGAGTGGGAGGGCGATTAGTGCTGAAAGGGTGGGGATGGTTAGCGAAGGGATGGGTGGAGGAATAACTGGGGTGGTGAGCGGTGGAAGGGAGTGTGAAAGGGTGTAAATAAAACCTCATGTGCAAGAGGGAGAAAACCTCATGTGTGTAAGAGTGCGAGGAATGCTCCAAGTGCAACATTCATATACCCCACTTGCAGCACTTACGTGGCCCACGGTCTCTCCTGCCTTGCGTGCATCCGCCACAGCTTGTAGAAAGTCTATTGACACTTGCACCCACCTGGAAGTGAGGAAGGGAGGGCAACAAAGGGGAGGACGGAGAGGGGTGGCTTTTACGTGTGCATGTGTGAACGCCATTACACCGCCTGCCTTGCATGCATCCGCCACAGCTTGTAGGAAGTCTATCGATACCTGCACCCACCTGGGGGGTTGAGGGCAGGGCGGGCAAAAAGGGGAGGAGGGAGGGAGTAGAAGGATTCAGCAATGATGCTTGCACGCAGTGGCAGGCGAAGAGGAGAATCTGAGATTCGGAAGGATGGGAGAGGGAAGAACGAAAGGGGAGAGAATGCGGGGGAAGACTGAGAGTGGGAAGAGTGATAGGGGGGAGGATGAGATGAGGAAGAATGAGAGGGGGAGGAGAGAGGGGGAACAAGAGAGGGGTAAGGAGAAGGAAATTTGAGTTCCAAGTGTGTGCATGCATTGAGAAACATGAAGTCATCCGCACACTATGCGCGCAGAATATCTTGGTGTTGTTGGGGTCCTTTCGTGACTTTTGAGTCGACTCAAAAGTCACCTTGTTGTTCGGGTTTGTTGGTCCTTTTGTTGTTGGTCCCTGTGGTGAAAGCAAGAGCCGCATCAACCCACCCACCAGACGCACCAAGGCATCACCACACCCACCACACCCACCACACCCACCTCCAACACACGCCCCCCACCCGCCATATGCTTCTAGCAGTGAGTCCCAGCAGGTATGTGTCGCGTGATAAGGGAACGGTAAAGGAAGTGAATATACTGTATATTTGCATATAGTGGAGAGGAGATTTCTACCGAGAAAATGGGGCCGAGAAGAGGTAAGGGAGGGAGGGTGTAATGGAAGAGGCGGAAGAACACCTGGATGTCGCTGCTTTTGCTTCGTGTGCGTGCGTGTGTATGTGCATGCTTTGAGTTCTGCAGGTTGATTGCCTGAGCCAGCTGGAGTGACGGAAGTTGGAGACGAGCTGGAAGTTGGAAGTAGGATGGCTAAGTGACGGTGGGAGAAAGGCGGTGGGGTTGGCCCTTCCTTGTTGCAAAGGGTCCTTCGTCCAAGGCAGGAGCCCAAGGTGTAGCAATAGGGGGAGTGAGGTTGGGAAGATATAGGGAGTACGGGCAATCGACTCTGCATTGTTTGTATGTTCTGTGTATTCTCATGAAATTGCATCACCTCGTGCAGAGCAGGAGATAGTGAGATGCTACTCACAAGGCTGCGGTGGTTTAGTTGGTGGCAGGAGATGTGAGTAAGCTAGCTTGAGCTTATTGGTGCATATCAACAATGGGAACACGTGAGGAGGAAAAGGGGAAGCAAGGCAAGAGGAGAGAGCTGGGGGGATGGGGAAGTAAGAGGCCAGTAAGCGGGAGTGAAGCGGAATAAGAAAGGATGAAGAAGAAAGGAAGTAGCTGGGAGTAAACAGCAAAGGGGAGAGGAGAAGTGAGGTGAGGGGATGTGGTTGGTTGATATCCTGGAACCAGGGGAGATAGGAGAGGCGGCTGGGAGGAAGATGAGCTAGCGGAGAGAGGAGCAGGGTAAGGGGATTCTCGACATATGCCAAACGCCCCCCATGGTGCGACACTGCTAGCACCCAACCGCACACCCCCTCCCCCCACGCACGCACACCATGCCACGCGCACCACCCCTTGCCCACACACCCACCATATGCTGCTGGCAGTGAGGCCCTGCAGGTACGCAAGATGGCCCCCGTGGTGTGACACTGCTAGCACCCAACTGCACATACCCGTCCACCACACGCACACCATGCCACGCGCACCATGCCACGCGCACCACCCCTTGCCCACACACCCACCATATGCTGCTGGCAGTGAGGCCCTGCAGGTACGCCAGATGACCCCCGTGGTGTGACACTGCCAGTACCACGTTTGGGTTGGCTCTGAGGAAAGGACAGCAGGGGAGCAAAGGGCGGGGAGAGAGAGGAATGGAAGCAGCAATGGATTAAGGAGAGAAAGAGGGTGCATAAGCACAAAAGGTATACCAGTTGATTCCCGTGGTGCGACACTGCCAGCACCACGTCGTGAGTCAATTCAACCACACCCTCACCACCCCCCTCGTGCCTCCCCACTGCCCCACTACGGGGAGGATGTTGAATCAACTCTCAAATATAACCTTACCACCCCCCTCTTGCATCCCCACTGCCACTCACTTTGCCTCGTCCCAGGGAATGGCCTCTCGGGTGCAGATGGGGTCGTCCAGTGCGCTCACAGCCAGCAATGGCACCGCCACCTCGGGCAGGAACTGGGCTGAGCCACAGCGACGGTAGTATGTGTCCACGGTCTGGTGGGGGGACAATGCGGAAGGAAAACACGGGTGTGTAAGGGAGGAAGGGGCGAGATGAGGGGATGGCTCTCCACGTGCAGTGGAGAGCCAGCAGTGGCACCGCCACCTCGGGTAGGAACTGGGCCGAGCCACAGCGACGGTAGTATGTGTCTACAGTCTGATGAGGAGTGGGGGAAGGCGGGCAAAAGGGGGGTTTAAGGAGGAGAGGGGCTAAGAGGGCATGGGCAGTGCACAGCCAGCAGCGGCAGCACTGCCACCTCGGGCAGGAACAGGGCCGAGCCACAGCGACGGTAGTACGTGTCCACGGTCTGAAGAGGGGGGGTAACAAAGGGAAGGGGGGGAAGGGAAGGGGCAAAAAGTAAGGGCGAGAAGAGGGGCCAAGGAGGAGGGGGGCAGTGGCCAGCCAGCAGCAGCACTGCCATGGCAGGGAGGAACTGAGGCACGGCACTGCCATGGCAGAACCAGTTGAGGCAGGAACTGAGGACAGCTGCAGCAACGGGGAACAGAAGAGCATGATGCAATTGAACATGACGTAATCAGGTTGGAATCAGGGTGGAATCAGGGTGTAATCAGGGTGTAATCAGGGTGTAATCAGGGTGTAATCAGGGTGAAATCAGGGTGTAATCAGGGTGTAATCAGGGTGTAATCAGGGTGTAATCAGGGTGTAATCAGGGTGTAATCAGGGTGTAATCAGGGTGTAATCAGGGTGTAATCAGGGTGTAATCAGGGTGTAATCAGGGTGTAATCAGGGTGTAATCAGGGTGAAATCAGGGTGTAATCAGGGTGAAATCAGGGTGTAATCAGGGTGTAATCAGGGTGCAATCAGGGTGTAATCAGGGTGTAATCAGGGTGTAATCAGGGTGTAATCAGGGTGTAATCAGGGTGAAATCAGGGTGTAATCAGGGTGTAATCAGGGTGTAATCAGGGTGTAATCAGGGTGTAATCAGGATGTAATCAGGGGGTAATCAGGCTGTAACACATGACGTGCTTACATGAGCTCAAGGCAGTACCTCGTAGTTGCTGACGATGCGTGTGATGCGGTCGTCAAACTGGCGGATGGTGCGCGCCTGAGGGAAATTTGAGAGGATAGTGGTACGAGGGAAGAGACAGAAATAATGGAGGGATGATTCGAGAGGATAGCTATGGAACGGACCAGGAGAAAGGGGAGGAAAGGGAGAGCGAATCATACAGATGGGATAAAGTAAAGAATGAAACGGGGTAAGAAGCTGGTGATCAAGACACAGTTGGGATACACCAGATGCCATGTATGCACATGCACCAAACATTCCACCCACCAAATACTGCCCAACACATGCCGGCCAACACATGCCGGCCAACACATGCCGGCCAACACATGCCGGCCAACACATGCCGGCCAACACATGCCGGCCAACACATGCCGGCCAACACATGCCGGCCAACACATGCCGGCCAACACATGCCGGCCAACACATGCCGGCCAACACATGCCGGCCAACACATGCCGGCCAACACATGCCGGCCAACACATGCCGGCCAACACATGCCGGCCAACACATGCCGGCCAACACATGCCGGCCAACACATGCCGGCCAACACATGCCGGCCAACACATGCCGGCCAACACATGCCGGCCAACACATGCCGGCCAACACATGCCGGCCAACAATGCCGGCCAACACATGCCGGCCAACACATGCTGCCCTGCAGATGGCGCCCATGCACATGCCGCCCACCATGCACATGCCGCCCACCATGCACATGCCGCCCACCATGCACATGCCGCCCACCATGCACATGCCGCCCACCATGCACATGCCGCCCACCATGCACATGCCGCCCACCATGCACATGCCGCCCACCATGCACATGCCGCCCACCATGCACATGCCGCCCACCATGCACATGCCGCCCACCATGCACATGCCGCCCACCTTCATGACATGCTGCACGTCCACAAGGTGCCGAAAGCTGTCCTTGTGACTGTGAGGGGGGGAAGGAGGAGAGAGTGGAGGAGATGAGGGGGGGATGAGACGAAGGCACATTGCACATGCATGCACCGCATGGCGTGCGGCACGTCCACGAGGTGCTGAAAGCTGTCCTTGTGACTGCGAGGGGGGGAAGGAGGAGAGAGTGGAGGAGAGGAGAGGAGAGGAGTGGAGAGGATAGGACAGGAGAGGAAAGGAGGGGAGAGCAGAAACAGAGTAGAGCAGGAGTGAGGAAGAGGAATGCCCGGAAGACAGCGAAAACAGGAGGGGAAAGAGAGAACGGGTGTGAAAGAAACGAGGGGGAAAGCAAAGAAAGAAAGAAAAGAGAGGGGAAAACGGATGCAGCAAGTTTGTATGTACAGGGCGAAGTTGCAAAGCCCATGGCCATGCCGGGGTTGTATTGTACATGCCATTTTTTTAAACCAGGGTCTCCTGTGAAACCAGGGTCTCACTTGAGACTTTCGAGAAGCTCGTACATTTTGCTGGTGATTTTGCTTCGGCACCGAACCAAAATCTGAGCCTAGAAGGTTTGGATGCACCCTGCAATTTGTGTTTCCTTCGCGCCCCTCGCTACACCCCTCGTCAAACTTTACACCCCACCAACCAATCCCAGTCAAGGTCGATTCATCAACTGCAAAACAAATGAACTACGTGAGACCCTGGTTTTAAGTAGCATCCTTCACCATCCCATCCGATGCCATCCCATGCCATGCCATGACATGCCATCCCATGCCATGCCATGCCATGCCATGACATGCCATCCCATGCCATGCCATGCCATGCCATGCCATGCCATGCCATGCCATGCCATGCCATGCCATGCCATGCCATGCCATGCCATCCCATCCCATGCCATGCCATGCCATGCCATGACATGCCATCCCATGCCATGCCATGCCATGCCATGCCATGACATGTCATCCCATGCCATGCCATGCCATGCCATGCCATCCCATGCCATGCCATGCCATGCCATCCCATGCCATGCCATGCCATGCCACGCCATGCCATGCCATGCCAAGCCGCGCCATTCCATGCCCTGCCATCCCTCGCCACACCACACCATCCGTCTCACAGCTTGGCGAAGTCGCGCAGGCCTGTGACCATGGCAGTGTTGTACACACGCTCCCTCTGCATCCTTGCAGTGCTTGCCCTCAACTCACAGCTTGGCGAAGTCGTGCAGGCCTGTGACCATGGCAGTGTTGTACACACGCTCCCTCTGCATCCTTGCAGTGCTTGCCCTCAACTCACAGCTTGGCGAAGTCACGCAGGCCCGTGACCATGGCAGTGTTGTACACACGCTCTCATGCATCCATGTCCCACTGTCTCAGGCCATGCCATGCCACCCCATGTCATACCATGCCATCCCATCACCACACACGGGTCTCACAGCTTGGCAAAGTCGCGCAGCCCTGTGACCATGGCAGTGTTGTACACGCGCTGCCTCGTGCGCCGATTCATCCAGCGATCACAGATCTGGGCACAGGGGGAAGGGGAAAGAGGGAGAGCGGGAGAAAGAGGGGAAGGGGGGGGGGATAGCGGGGGACAGGGGGAGAGAGGGTGGGATGGCATGGTTCATCCGCCAGTCATGCATTTGAGAGCAGGGGGCGCAGGGGGCAATGGAGTGGCAGGGAAAAGTAAGAGGGGATTTTATAAGCGCCTGACAATTGAAGCATTTGAGAGCAGGGGGTGCAAGTTGCAACAGAGTGGTGGGGAAAAGGGAGGCGGGGGAAGAGGGGGGGAGTGGCGGGAAATTGGACGCAGGGGGAAAGCGAGAGTGAGGGGGAAGGAAATGGGAGGGGGGGTAGGGACATGAGAGAAAACCAGCATGGCAAACAGCGGCACGAGGATAGCCCATACGTATTACATACCAGCAGGTCCCATGGATTGCCGATGCTGACAGCAGCTTGAATGGGGCCCGAGGCACCCTCCTCCCCTAGGTACTTCACCTGCAGTAGAGGGGGAGGGGGAAGGGGGGGCAGGCGGGCAGGAGGGGGGGGGAAAGAGGGAGAGCAGGGAGGAGAGCACAGATGGAGGCAGCAGCTTGAATGGGCCCCGAGGCACCCTCCTTCCCTCCTGAGAGGAAGGGAGGGGAGTAGGAGAGGGCATGTGGGAAAAGGGGAGGGACAGGGGGGCGGGCGGACGTCAGAGGGGCAGGAGGGGATGAGGAGGAGATAAGGGTAAAACATAACCCAAATCCTTGCGACAACACCACACCAAAGAGCCGTTCCACAATGCATTACTGCAATTCTAATCTACTCAAAATGGAGATGCCTCGCCAGGATGTTAGCCCCCAGCGATGTGCCAATTGCGTAGAGGGGCGCATGTGGGTAGTCCTGCTCTATGAGGCTGCTCAGTGGGTCTTTCTATGTCCTTTTCCCTCACCAGGATGTTTGCACCCAGGGACGTGCCGATGGCATAGAGGGGCGCGTGGGGGTAGTCCTGCTGTACAAGGCTGATGACAAAGCGCAGGTCCGTGGTCCACCCCGCATTGTAGAACCGGTTCGACTGGGAGGGAGAGGGAAGGCGACGAGGGGAGGGTGATGGCTTTTTACGGAGCAGCAAGATTGAACAAATATGTCACCTCAGTTCAGCTCAGCTCAAAAAAAGAAAGAAAGAAAGAAAGAAAGAAAGAAAGAAAGAAAGAAAGAAAGAAAGAAAGAAAGAAAGAAAGAAAGAAAGAAAGAAAGAAAGAAAAGTGCAACTTGCTATGACTGTAAGCCAGTAAGACTGCTTGGAAAATACTGATAACCCAGAAGATACTGATACTGATACTGCTTGGGAAGCAGTAAGTAAACAGGGTTCTGAGAGCTCACAGTGATGGTGACGCCCCCCAGGCCTCGATGATTGGGCACCAGTGCTCGCCACCCATGCCGTGTGACACCTGCCACACACTGCCGCATGTACTGTGTAGTGGAGCAAAGGGGAGGGGAGGGGAGGGGAGGGGGGGAAATGGGGAGCAGACAGGAGCAGAGCGGAGATTAGGATGGGCGAGCAGCGGTAGATGGGAGCATGAGGAGCCACAGAGTAGCACTGCTCGTCACCCATGCCGTGTGACGCCCGCCACACACTGTCGCATGTACTGTGGGAGGACAGAGGGGTGCAGGGGAGTGCAGGGGAGTGCACAGGAGGGGGGAAAAAGGAGCAGAGGGGAGCAGCGGGGAGCTGAGGGGAGAAGAGAGTGGGTGTGCAGGGGCAGGGGAGTGCAGGGGAAGCGCAAGAATGGGTGGAAGGTGGGAAGAGTGCTAAATTGCACACCGTACTGTATTTTAGTGTGAACTTGTCTTCATGGTTTGGCAGTGCAAGGCAATAAAACATGTTAACACCGTTACCATCATCATCACCACCATCCCTATCACCATCCTGATCCCCATCCCCATCCCATGCCCATCCCATCCACACTGCCATATCCACCCCCATCCAAAACCCATCTTCCCTCCCATACACATCCCATCCCCATCCCCACCCCACCCCACCCCACTACACCCCCCCACCCTATCATCCCCATCATCCTCATTCCATCCGACTTCACCCCTCCCCACCGCATCCCACGCCTCACCATGTCATTGGACTGGCTGGTAAGCCCCGGGCACCACAATCACAAATACATATCCCCATCATCCCCACCACACCCCATGCTACGCCACTTCACCCCACTCTTCCCCACTTCACCTCACTCTGGCCCACTCCACCCCTCACCTTATCACTGGACTGGCTGGTAAGCCCTGGCACCACAATCACAATGGGCACCTGCGACGTGTGCTCCGCCCTCCCTCCCGACACCTTTTGTCAGTCTGCCTACACCCCATTCCACCCCACCCCACCCCACCCCGGACACAGCAATCTACCCCACCCCACCGCATTCTACCCCTCACCTTGTCACTGGACTGGCTAGTAAGCTCCGGCACCACGATCACAATCGGCACCGTCCGCCCTATCATATCATCCTCATCCCCACCGCATCCCACCCCTCACCTTGTCACTGGACTGGCTGGTAAGCCCCGGCACCACAATCACAATCGGCACCTGCAACGTCCCAACCGCCCTATCATCCCCATCATCCTCATTCCATCCGACTTCACCCCACCCCACCGCATCCCACGCCTCACCTTATCACTGGACTGGCTGGTAAGCCCTGGCACCACAATCACAATGGGCACCTGCGACGTGCGCTCCGCCCTCCCTCCCGCCCCCCCCTCTCCCACCAGCCCCCATCCCACCCCGGTCACAGCACTCCACCCCACCCCACCACTCTCCGCACCTTGTCACTGGACTGGCTGGTAAGCCCCGGCACCACGATCACAATCGGCACCTGCGACGTGCGCTCCGCCCTCCCTCCCGACACCTTCGCCTCTCCTCCTTCCCCTGCCGCCCCTGCACCCTTCCCTTGCCCTTCTCCTGTAGGGGCTGGCAAGTGAAGTTTTGGAAGAAGGTGAAGGGGAGAGCGGGAGAGAGGGGGAGCAGGTGGACTAGGATTATTAGATGGGCATGGAAGGGGGTGAGGACAATACTTGGTTCTTGAAAGTTGAAGAAAAAACAACAAGTGGGAGGGAGGGGACTGCTGACTGGAACAGAGACGGACATCAGGGAGGGTGGAGGATGGTGGGGGGGGGGACAGACACTTAAATCGACACGAAAAATGAAACTTTCTGGTCGACTATAATCCCCCTTCGCCCCCATCACCCCCCTGCACTGCACCCCTCACCATCCCCCATCAACCCCCTGTGGCCCCATCATCCGCCTGCGCCCTCACCACCCCCCTGCGCCCCTCACCTGATGCTGCAGGCTCGGCCCAGTCGAGGCCAAGGGTGCCACCATCAGGGGTGCGCACCACATGCCTGAGCAGTGGGGGGCGGTAAGGGGGTGAATGGGGGGGACGAGAGGGGGGAGGGGTGACACTATGAGGCCGAGGGTGCCACCATCAGGGGTGCGCACCACATGTCTGAGCAGTGGGGGGCGGTAAGGGGGTGAATGAAGGGGACGAGAGGGGGGAGGGGTGACACTATGAGGCCGAGGGTGCCACCATCCAGGGTGCGCACCACATGCCTGAGCATTGGGGGACGGTAAGGGGGCGGAAGGGGAGCGTTAGGGGGGCGGTAGGGGGAGATAGGAGGGACGATTGGGGGTGAGATTGGCAGGGGCCCTGTGAGGGCGAGGGTGCCTCCATCAGGGGTGCGCTGCGCACCATTTGCCTGGGCGTTGGGAGGGTGGTAGGGGGGAGGTTGAGGGGCGGTTGGGGGAGATCCGTGGACGATTGGGGAGGAGATAGGGCGGACAATTGGGATGGGCAATTGGGAGGGGGGGATTTGGGGGAAAGACATTTGAGGGGGGCATTTGGAGGGGTGGAGAGGGGGGACTGTGAGAGAGAGGGTGCGGCCATCAGGTGTGTGCGCCGCTTGCTTGAATTGGATGATAATCAGGGAGCGATTGGCTGGTAACATTTGGGGGAGGGCGGGTAGTGATGTGTGCGGTAGGAGAAAAAAAAGGGCTAGGAGGAGAAATGAAGGAGAAAAGAGAACAACATGACTAGGAAACGCTATGAGCACAGCACACGGACAGGCACCTGATGAAGGGCAGGGCACATTATGCAGGAGGAAGGAGAGGAACACCTGATGCAGGGGCAATCTATAAGCACGCTCACCTGATGCAGGGGCAATCTATAAGCACGCTCACCTGATGCAGGGGACAAATTATGGGCAGAGCACACCCACCTGATGTAGGGCACGTGGGGCGTGGGCGCGAAGAAGTGCACAAAGGTGGTCTGCAGGTGCGGACTGCACAGCCACGGCGTGGGCCAGAAGCTGCAGCGGAGGGGGAGGAGAAGGGGAGAGGGGCGCATTGGGAGGGGGAGAGGAGGTGAAGGGGAGCATAGAGAGGATGGGGAGGAGGGTATATGGCCACACGTGGCGTGCACGAAGGTGGTGTGCAGGTGTGGACTGCACAGCCACTGCGTGGGCCAGAAGCTGCACGAAGGCGGGGAGAGGGGAGCAGAGGGGGAAAGGGGGGAGGGGAAGAGGAGGGGAAGGGGGAGGGGGAGGTGCGCATAGGAGCACACTTGGGCGCAGCGATGACAGGTAGGAGCAGAGTTGGGCACACAGGTAGCGAGAAACGAGGGAGACTGGGGGAAACTGGGGAGGGGAGGGCAGTAGGACACGCGGGGGAACGGAGAAAGGTTGGGGAAGCTGGGGAAGGACAGGGCACAGGGGGACACCAAGAGGCAAAACGGGTCGTAGGGGTGCGCAGAACTGGAGCGAAGGCGCCAGACAACAGATAGCAGTCGTTGATGACATTTTAAAGCGGATGTCTGGTGCGGGATTCTGAGCAGCGGCACCAGATTCAGTTGACTCCGTCAATGAGTTGATCTACCCGATTCAGTTAACTTTGTCAATGATTTAATCTAACGGATCCAGACGTGACTCGGGTACCCCACTTCCGCCTTCAGTGCAACTAAGCACTTCCCACATCTCAGTCGACTGCCCGATCCCCTCCGCTCTCCACCATATAAACCCGAACCGCATTTATTTGACGGGATCCAAGCCTGCAAGATTTCGTCAATGATTCGATCTACCAGATTCAGACGTGACTATAGAGTCCCATTTCCGCCTGTGCGCTTATCACATCCCACGCGTCAGTCTGACCGCCCAATTCCCCTTATAGTCCACCTTTCAACCCGTGCCGCGTTACTTTGTCTGTATTCGTACCCGCAACAAGCGGAAGCCGCCACTCACTGCGGAATGCGCATTCGCGCGAACACGGCGCGCGCCACGTTGGATCCGGGGTTGTGCACCACCTTCACCCTATCGCCGACGAACACGTGGCTGACCACGTGCAGGTCGAACCAATTGTAGAGAAACACTAGCAGCAGCGCCGCGAGCACCGCGAGGAGCAGCCACCACACGAGCGGCGGCAGTTGCGACACGGCGAGGGCGACGGCGGCGACGGATTCGAACAGCCACGGGATGAAATCCGGAGGAATCGCTGTTCTTGAAAAAACGGCCTCGACAGACGGAAATGACGTCATCTTGAAGTGTTAGGCGACGCTGTGCGATCGACGGCGATTCTCTGGAGTTACAGGCGGGTGAGATCCTTCAAAGTCGCGGGTTCGCACAGTGTAGAGTGCGAATGCTAGGATCGTGGAGCGTGTCTCAGGGGGAAGGACGGTCGCGGGGCACGGCTGTGCTGTGAGGCAAGAAGGTATTTTTCCTGGATTCTGCTGACATGAGGATTCAATCAGGCGAACGGCGAAGTGACTCGTGCGGTGGAGGGGCATGTGTAGGCGAAGCTGTGGCCCACAATTGCACGCGAGGTCTGGCGACTGGGAATGGAACGGTGTGGCGAAAGATTCACGATCCAGATACGAAGAGGTGGGGCGAAGGTTGGAACACTGCGTATACAGTTCAATGTGCACCTGGCGAAAGATTCGCGATTCAGTTACGAAGAGGTGGGCCGAAGGTTGGAACACTGCGTATACAGTTCAGTGTAACAGAATGAATGTAGCTCTAACCACTTTAGCAAAAAATTATACTATAAAATTTAATTTAGCTATAATCACAGCTTTTATATGTATATTCGACTCAATTTTATTTATTTTTTTTTGTTCATGAAAAAGGTAAGTGCTGATTGTTAGAAACCATAGATTGCCTACTGGCATAGCTTTCAACAATCTGTATAACGCGCCTGACACAAAGCAATGAGGCGCGCCGTCACGGTGACCCCCCGAAAAGCACTGTAGTGGATGAGCCGCCGCTTTCCCGCCAAATCCACTCACCCAACTCACATCCCCGCGTGTGCTGTTTTAGGAGACGTCACGGGAACGCTCTGTAACCAGTGTTGTTATCTATTGCTTCATAGGAGAGATATTCACTAATCCCACAAGCAGTTGAACACAAGGGTTTGAAGCCGCATCGCGTCGATTCTTGTAAGGTGAGATGTACGGCGAGCATGGAAGGATCGTGTTTGCTGCCGAGGATCATTAGTTACTACTCGGTGCGAACTTCACTTTCCGCAACCTCGTAGCGTTAACCGATAAACTGAGAGGAAACGAGTAGGCCGCGTTGCTAAAGCTGGTGGTCCAGGCAATAAGCACGAATAGGAACGCGGCGAGGAAATTCCGCGAGTGCATGCTGCGAAACTGCGAGTGATTGAGAGTTCGAGAGTACTATGGGAGAATCGCATGATGTTTCGCTGGTGTCAACGCGGTATTAGGTCAAGAAAACGAGGGAATTATTTACCTGGTTTTGTTGACGATTTTGAAGGAAGCAAGCACGGGGTGAGGTAATACCCCGTTTGAACAGAAAAAGGAGCAAGTTTTGCACGGCTTTAACGTTTTTTTCTGAGCCTGTTGTGCATCTCCTCTTCCTCTCTTCCATCGCCCCACCATGTGACAGCAACAGGCAACAGCGTGTGGTTACCAGCATGGAGAGGAAGCAGCAGGTGCTGGGATTCGCCCAGAGGAAGCCAGTGGGGGAGCGGCAGGGCAAGCATGGCAGTGGGAGCGGCAAGCAGACGGATTGGAAGGCTGCGGAGGAGCCTGGCAATGAGGTGCAGAACGGTGAGTTGTCCTGGCGGTGCGGTGCAGTACGGTGAGTCGTGGCAGTGCGGTGCAGAACGATTAGTCGTTGTGGCAGTGAGGTGCGGAACGGTGAGTCATGCAGTACGTTTGGGATCATCTGTTGTATCACACATCCTACTCCTGTCCCATCTTCTGTTGTTTGTCCCTTATCCAAGTTCCATCCCCTTCCATTTCCATCACATATGTGTCTTCAAAGCGTTTCCGCATGGACACCACATATGTCACCGTGACGAAATACTTCACCTGTCTCTCTTTCCCACCCACCTGTGTTCCCAACCCACCTCCACCCAACCTCCTGTTTTCTCCAGACGCCATCATCGCACCACCACAGGAGCAGGCGGAGCAGGCAGAGCGCGCCCTGCAGCTGTTTGACGACATGGCGTTCTCGCCCCTTGTGTGGTGCTTACCATGCTCCTCCCTGCCTCCCTAACTTTCCCCTTCCTCTCCACCAGACGCCATCATCGCACCACCTCAGGAGCAGGCAGAGCAGGCGGAGCGCGCTCTGCAGCTGTTTGACATGGACATGGCGTTCGGCCCCTGCACTGGCCTCTCCCGCTTGGAGCGCTGGCAGCGCGCCAACCGGTTGGGGTTGAACCCTCCAGCCCACGTGCAAGCGCTGCTGGAGTCTGCCTCGTGCCGTGAAGACAGCGTTTGGGAGGGCAGGGTGTGAGAGGGGGGGGGGTGAGCATAGCTGGATGCATGGGTGCAGGTCGTTGGGTGGTTGAGGTGGGCTCTACCGTATGGAAGGCTGCGATTGGGCCAGCCGGCTGGGGCTCAACCCTCCGCCCTCACGTACGAGTGCTGCTGGAGTGTGCTCCGTGCCGTGGAGACAGCGTCTGGGAGGGCAGGGTGTGAGGGGTGGCCGTGGTCATGGCAGCAAGGGTGCATCAATGGGTGGGTGGTGTATGGGTGCATGGGTGGATGGGTTCATGGGCGCGTGGGTGTGTTGGCGCATGGGTGCGTGGGCGCGTGGGCGCATGGGCGCATGGGTGCATGGGTACGTGGGTGCATAGCCGCATGACATCTGGTTGCAGCGGGGGTCCTTCCCGCTGGGTTAGGCCAGGAGGGAGCAAGCAGGCTGGGTCTGAAGCCTCTCCCTCACATCTGAGCGCTTGGGAGGGTGGATGCATGCAAGGGCGAGGGGTGAATGTGTGTGAGGGTGGGGGGGGGATGCGTGTGTTTGAGCGGGATCGTCAAGTGTGCAAGTTGGGATGAGTGTGTATAAGCACCGTGTAATGTATGGTGAACATGAGAGTTGTGGTGGAATGCTATACACTGCAAAAAACCCTATGGAATGTTTTGTTGACTTATTATTACCGGTATCAACGGGTGTCCTATGAGTTGCCAATATTGAAAGCCAGTCTCTTCTAGGTACCACGTATATAAATATATTTGACAGGCTGTTCAAAATTGTACAAAATTTCGAACATCCCCAAATATTTTTTACCGTACATCTTGAAATTTCACCAATGTTTTTTCTCCCATTCTCGCCACTTCTCTTCTTCTCCTTCCCCAGTAACATTATTAACAAATGCACATGTCAAATCAATGTACTTTTCTTTTTTTCAGAAAAGGTTCTTTCAAAAAAGGAGTCAAGATGGGTTGGGCGGTGACCGTTGGGTCACAAACAGCGATCCGAAAAGCCTGGGATGGGAAGCTTGTGGTTGCGCGAATTGGCGAGAAAGGATGGCGAGGCGAAGTGAAAGGCTCATGCAGCTGCTGTTTGCTTGCGCGATTCGACTGCCGTCTTCGCCGGCAGCCGAATGAACCTTTTTAGTTTCTGAGTTGGATTAGTTCAGCTATTCAGATATGCTTACCTAGGAAAAGGCAACCTCTCTATACTATAGAGATATGTAGGCTCCATAGCGGTAGGAGTTACTTGCGATCAGGCCACTCGATTTGGGACTCGCGTCTTATCCTGATCGGTTAGCATTTCCTGCGGTGGCAAGATGGCTACAGCAAGCGCTCCCATCGTTTGGAAGGAGGCCCTCAGCGTGAGTAGGAAAGATTGTAAGGTAGTTTTTGTGGTAAAATTAGGTTCATAAGGTGGACTGTTACTGAACGACTTCAGAGTTTTACGACATGGGTCATGTTTCCCACCGTACCTCCTTGTGCAGTTGACAAATCTGGGGGTCAATCAACGGTTCATCAACTTCACTCATGTAACGATGGAGTCCGAGAAGTATATCTGTGTCAGGGAAACGGCTCCGTCGAACAGCGTTGTCATCATTGACATGGCGATGCCAATGCAGCCTTTGAGGAGGCCTTTCACTGCTGACTCAGCATTGATAAATCCTGACAGCAAAATCTTGGCGCTCAAGGGTCAGTTCGCTGCTTGTTCGTCCTTACGTTTGAGGATGTTCTTGGGTCAGCTCAAGAGTCAGCTCTTGGCGTTCGGATCACTTAGACTTTTCGGTTTGACCGTGCAGCTTTGATTAAAGGGACGAATCAAATGCGAATTCTCGACATCGAGGCTAGGGCTGAATTCAAGTCGTACCGGATGCCAGAAAAGGTCAGCACCAGATCACAGTTGCATCTGCCATCAGTTTGAAAAGCTTTACTGACAGACTGCTCTCTCGCTCTTTGCAGATTGTGTACTGGAAGTGGATCTCCAACGAAGTCCTCGGCCTCGTAACTCTGACATCTGTTTACCACTGGTCGATCGAAGGTTGTAGTTTTAGACTGCACCATCTGCCAACCCTTTCACATTCTAAATCATCCTGAATCATCATAGGCAAGCTTTTGCAGCGAAGATGCAGTACTGTGCTGCGACTTTTTTTTCCCTTTTCTTTGTGTCTCGAACAGGCGAGGTAAAACCCGTTAAGATGTTTGAGCGGACAGCAAACTTGAACGGCAGTCAGATAATCAACTACCGGAGTGATCCCTCTGGCAAATGGCTCGCTTTGATCGGCATCGCCCCTGGTGCTCCTGAGGTATGCAGAAAGTCTTGCCCTTTAAAGTAACCAGAAGTTGCGAGAATGGTTATTGATGATGTTTGCCTTGGTGGTTGCTTGCAGCGTCCACAACTCGTCAAGGGAAATATGCAGCTCTTTTCCGTGGATGAGCAAAAGAGTCAGGCGTTGGAAGCGCACGTAGCTGCGTTTGCCTCTGTAAAGGTCTGCTGATTCTGTAATCCTTTCACAAGATATTGTACATTGAGCGCATGTGAAGTGTTTGGATTGCTAAGCAAGTACTCAACTGGCTGTGATCGCGCAGGTGCCAGGAAACGACACTCCCTCCCTTGTCATTGCGTTTGCCACCAAGACTATCACTGGCGGACAGCTTATATCGAGGTTGCATATAATGGAGCTTGGTGCTCAGCCAGGTCAGCAATTTCTAATTCCGTACAAAAATCGGATGTCGCAGAATGTATCGGTTTAGCGGACAAGATAAGCCTGGTTGTTCTTTGCAGGTCGTGTTCCTTTCACTAAGAAGCAGGCCGACCTGTTTTTCCCGCCAGCTTTCGCTGATGACTTTCCGATCTCCATGCAGGTGAGGAAGGTTGCGTTCAATGCTTCACCCCACAAACGAATCCAACTCTCCCCACTTCTGCTGCTTTACCCCCTTGTTCTCCTCCCGTGTTCGCCCACCGCCCTTTACCCCTTTCCCCTCTCGTTCAGGTGTCAGCAAAGTTCGGTCTGGTGTATGTCGTCACCAAGCTAGGCCTGCTCTTTGTGTACGACCTTGAGTCCGCTACAGCCATCTACCACAATCGCATCAGCCCCGACCCCATCTTCCTGGCAGCCGACGCTCCCAGCGTGGGCGGTGTCTACGCCGTGAATCTCCGCGGCAAGGTGCTGCTAGCCACGGTGAACGAGCAGGCCATCGTCCCGTTTGTCAGCGGCCAGCTCAACAACTCAGAGCTCGCAATCAACCTTGCTCGCCGCGCGAACCTCCCTGGTGCCGAGAATCTGGTGCCGAGGAGTAGTAGCCCAAAGGACGTGGTAGTGGCTGAAAAGAGCGTGGGGAGCCAGTCACCAGCAGCAGCTGGGCGAAGCGGGGAGAAGGGGCGTCGATTTTCCCTGAAAGAGAATTTGGGGTCGTGGTTCCGCTCTCAGCCCGGTTCTTCCAATTCGGTCGACCGGACTGCCACAGCCATTACTCACCAGAGCCTAGGTACGTCTGGGTGTTGAGGTTGAGTTATAGAGTGTTGGCCCTTGAGCAGAAGGAGCTGGGCCTTGCCAGGGAAAGCCACTTTTGTTGTTGGCCTGTTGGAAGGCGACGAAGGAGGGTTGTTCTTGAGGTAAATTTGACGTTGGGTCGGCCTGTCCTGACCCAACCCGAATCTGTCAAAGCAAGGCTCGCTGTATGGGTCGGGTCGGGATGGTTCACCTTCGGGGATTAGGCTCCTTGTTTTCTTGACCCGTCCTGACATAAAAAGTTGGGTCGAGGTCAAACTGAGGTTTGGACGTGTTTTAAATCAGGGGCTTTTAGGGCAACATAATACACATATCAAACAAACCCCCCACACCTCGTCCTCCTCAAAGCTGGTTTCGAGAAATAGGGCAGCAAACGATCAGGCGACAGTGAAAGAAAACATGTGGCTGTCGCGACGACTGTGTCTGTCTGCGGCAGCGAGTAGTTGCCAAGCGCTGGTCGCAGAATAAGGACGGCAGGCAATTGATGCGCTACTACCAAACACTGAAGATAAATTTTGAGTCACGATAAGATTTGAAAAGGTGCAGTGAGGAGTTGCCAGGCACTTTCTACTATACACACATTGTAAGTTTGTTGCAAAAAGTGCGAGAAAATTTGGAGATGTGAGATGTGCTGTGTGTGATGGTTGACAGAAATTCAGCCTCGGGGGGGAAATCAGCCGACTTCAGTCGAAGCGTGGATGCAGGTGCAGAAGGATGCGGGTGGGTGCGAGCAGTTGTGAGAAGTGGATACATGGGTTAGGTGAGGTGGAGCAGCGGAGATTAAGGTGGAAGGGAAGGTCACTTGGCTGGTTTGGGTTGGCTTGTGCGCGATGTGGTCTGGGGGTGGTGTGAAGCAGTTTGCATTTGCAGCTCGTAGCCGTCGATTTAGTCTTCAAAGGTTGGCATCCGCCGTCCAGTGAGATTGTGACAGCATTTCAGGAATGGATTTTGGCGTGACGTTGTGCCTTCCTCCCCACACGCGCGGCGAGAAAAGCCCTTGACGTGCACGGGACAGGAGGGGGCTGAGGGGGACGGAATGGACGGTTGGAAACATGTGAAACTGGTTGCAATGTCAGTGTTCAAGTGCATGAAGCGAGGTGATCTATATCAGATCACACTAGTTCAAAATTCACATTGATTCCCTGCATTGAACAAAACCGTATTAACAGCCAAGATGGGAATGGAGGACGGGGAACCGCCGCGTATCGCACCTGCGTACACGCCGTGCGCTTTCGAAGGGGAGTCGCCTGGGCCCCGGTGCGGTCACACGCTTACCGCCGTCACGCCTATTGGAGAGCCTGGCAGCGCGAACTACATTGGTCCGCGGCTTATCCTCTTTGGCGGAGCGGCGGCGATGGAGCGAGGCAAAGGTCCCGCGGCAGGAGCAGCAGCCTTAAACCGTAAGTCAGGAAGCGTGGGAAGATCCCTCGCTAAGCGGCTGCTCGATCGGTTTTAAATTGACACCTGATCAAGGACCAAAATAGTGTTCAGCGATTCCGCGGCGGTCTCCTTTCTGATTAAGGTTAACACTTACTAGCATAGAAATGCTGGTTAACGATCGTGATTTAAACCGTGCGTACACTCGCTTATGACGAGCACTTCTCTCTTTCTTTATCATCCTTCTTAGTCATCAACTCTCATACCAACTGCCGGCCAAGCTCTTTTCTTGCCGCTGTATCCCAGTTTCTCAGACACTCTCGTTTTTTTTTTTTTTTTTTTTTTTCCTGTCTTTTTTCTTTCGCGTAATCATCTTCAAAAGCTTCTGCTTCATGTGTTGTTTAGGCACCACCGCAGGGTTTGGGAAGCAGCTTGACTCAAGAGCACTCATTGTCTGTAACGATTCGCCTTTCGAGTTTTTGCGCTCTTTTGCTGCTTACTTCCGTTGGTCTTTCAGTGGCCGGAGCCACGGCAGACGTGCATTGCTTCGACGTCAACTCGCGGACATGGAGCAAGTGAGTGAGCTCATCCACTCGGTTTGGCGCGGTTTGTTTGGGAGTTTCCAGTGACTGATTGCGCTTCGTCTGTATCGGGAAAATATTGGAGGAAATAAAAAGATATCGGTGTATCAGTGTAACCCTGTTACCAACTGCATTTTGTGGTACTTACCTACTTACCTGGCATCAATTCTGCGTTTCCTCTCTCCCAAGCTAATTACAGTAGGCGAGCCTCCTTCCCCGCGAGCAGCACATTGCACCTTTGGGCCCCCTAAAAATATCTTGCAGGCTGTCCCCTGTGTGTGGGCGAGCATGGACTTTTTAAGGGCCTCACCTTTTTTTTTTTTTTTTTTTTTTTTCTTCTTCTTCTTCTTCTTCTTCCTTTCTTTATTTCTTTCTTTCTTTCCCGTTTCTTTCCCAGGCTCTCCCCTGTTGGCAAGCCTCCCTCCCCGCGAGCAGCGCATGCGGCTGCGGCGATGGGCACGATGGTGGTGATTCAGGGGGGGATAGGGCCGACAGGGCTCGCCACTGACGATCTGCATGTGCTGGACCTGACTCAGGCTCAACCCAAGTGGCACGGGTGCGGCTGCACTCTTGTGACTGTTGTGCTGTTGTCCATTTTGACTGTTTTGCTGTTGACTGTTGCAATGCTGTTGCTGTTGTTCAGCTTGTGCTTGTAACGAGGTGTTTTAAAGGTGTTGCTGTGGGTGGTGTGGCGTGTGCTTGTAACGAGCAGAGTGGCGGTGCAAGGAGCTGGCCCTGGGCCTCGATATGGTCACGTCATGGCCCTTGTGGGGCAGCGCTACCTTTTGTGCATCAGCGGAAACGACGGTGAGAGGATTGCGCAGGGTCTTTCCTTGCTCTCTCTGTTGGAACCGAGCTGTAGATTGATTGACGCTCGTGGTCCGTCCGTGCATCTGTCAGTGATGCAGAGGGATGCGGCTTGATGTGTTTCTTTAGCCTGATCAGTTTCGTCGAGTGGTTTGTGCTTGGCTGGACCGTGGAGCACTCATGGCTGACGTCAGTGATGGAGTGATTGTAGGGTATGGGATGGAGAATGCTGGCGTTAACCCTCTTGCCCTGATTCGTTTGCGCTTTTTTGTTTCTAGTAGTCCTTGGCCCGGCAGGCAAGCGGCCGCTGTCAGACATGTGATCGTTGGACACAGCCTCAAATGTTTGCCCTATTACGCTAAGAACACAACTGCTACCCATCGCATGGCATCCATCTTTTGCCTTCTACCTCCCCGTTCCCTTGCTCTTCCCTCCCCGCTCCCCCCTCCCCATTCCCCCCTCCCCACTCCTCACCACCCCCTCCCCACCGCTTCCTCTCCTGCAGGCAAGGGGTCGCTGTCGGACTTGTGGTTGCTTGCTGAACACGACAGTGAAGCCGTACAAGTGGAGGAAGCTGGATCTCAAGGGCGAGGGCCCGACTCGCATGTATCTTTGGGTCGACCCAGCACCCTCTCTCCCCACTACTTCCTCCCCCCCCACCCGGGCAGGCAAGCGGCTGCTGTCAGACGTGTGGTCACTGGACATGACAGTGATGAAGCCGTACAAGTGGAAGAAGCTGGACCCCAAGGGCGAGGGCCCACCGCCCTGCATGTACCTCTGAGTTGACTCATCACCACAACCCCCCTCAACCCCTTCGTTCTTCCCACCCCAGGCAAGCGGCTGCTGTCAGACGTGTGGTTGCTGGACACGACAGTGAAGCCGTACAAGTGGAAGAAGCTGGACCCCAAGGGCGAGGGGCCACCGCCCTGTATGTATGCCACCGCCAGCGCCAGGCACGACGGGCTGCTGCTGCTGTGCGGCGGCAGAGACAGCAGTGGCGTGGTGAGCTGTGTTGCGTTGCGCGTGGCATGAGAGTGGTGATAAGCTTTTGAGTCGATTCACAAGGCACAGGAGTATGTGCCAGGCACGACCGGCTGCTGCTGCTGCTGTGCAGCAGCAGAGACGACGGCAGCGTGGTGAGTAGAGCGTGGCATTAGAGTGGTGATGAGCCCTTGAGTGGACTCACTCCACACCTTTTTAAACTTGCTCTTTTCCCTCACAATGCCTCTCCCCCACGCACTGACCCTGCTACTTTCTCCCCCTCACCCCCTCTCCCACCGACCCCACCCTTCCATTTTGCACCGGTCGTTCCGCACCACATCAGCCCCTACCTGGGGCGTTTCGCCTGGCTCGGCATCTGGATGGCCGGTGGGAGTGGGCTGTGGCGCCTGGCGTGTCCCCCTCGGCGCGCTACCAACACGCTGCTGTGAGTTTCTTCATGCCGTGTTTAAGTCACTCTGTAATGTAACTAACAACAGCGTGTTGCTACGAGTCCTTCAAAACACATTGCCGTGAGTTGCGTGTTCCTGTTGTGAGTAGCTTTCTATCAGTATGTTGCTGCGAGTCCTTTCTTGCGTGTATGCCTGTGCATGCATGCCTGCACATAGGCACGTGTGACTGTCAGTCTGGCTGTGACAGTATGTGTGGGTGGGAACGTCTTGGCCCTGAACACGAACCCTGGCCAGAACTCGATCTCTGCTCGGAACCTTGCTCTAAATCCTGCTCGGAACCTTGCTCTAAATCCTGCTCTGAACCTTGCTCTGAACCTTGCTCTAAATCCTGCTCTGAACCTTTTTCTGAACCTTGCTCTAACTCCTGCTCTAAATCCTGCTCTGAACCTTGCTCTAAATCCTGCTCTGAACCTTTCTCTGAACCTTGCTCTAAATCCTGCTCTGAACCTTTCTCTGAACCTTGCTCTAAGTCCTGCTCTGAACCTTTCTCTGAACCTTGCAATGAACCTTGCCCTGCGCGCAGATGTTTGTGGGGCTGCGCCTGCACGTGTCTGGAGGAACGCTGGGGGAAGAGAGGATGGTGGAAGACGCTTCCAGTGTTGCCGGTGAGTGAGTGTGACTATAGAGAGCCCAAATGGTCATTGTTGTGTTTAAGGTGCATGAGAATAATGTTTCCCCTCTGCTATCCCTCCTTCATCACTCCTATCTCCTTCTGCACACGCTGCTCTGGGCACAGCAGCAGGCGTGTGGTGCGACCGCAAGGCCATGGTATGACGATACTCTTTCTTCCTCCTCTCCCTTTCACCCCTCTCCCTCGCCCTTGTTCCTTCATTCACACACGCGCAGTCCTGGACACGGCGGCAGGCGTGTGGTGTGACCGCAAGGCCATGGTATCAGTCACCCGCACCGGCCTCTACCGTGCCGACGCTCTTACTTCTTCTCCCCTCACCCCTCCGCTACTCCTCCAACCCCCATGTTCTATGTTCAACAGTTCTTGACACAGCCGCTGGCGTGTGGTGTGACCGCAAGGCCATAGTATCAGCCGCCCGCACTGGCCGCTACAGTGCCGACGCGCCGGGCTGCGACGCGTCCTCCGAGCTCACCTGCCGCTGCCGCCACGCCGCCGCCTCGGTCGGCGATTTTATCTTCGTGTATGGCGGGCTGCGGGGCGGCATTCTCTTGGACGATCTGCTCATTGCCGATGACACGCCGCCCGAGCAGCCCACCCTGCCGCCCTCTGTGGGCGCGCCGGCGAAGGAGCCTGTGTCTGGGTCGGCCCGCAACCCGCCCATGCTGCCCAGATCGGGGGAGGGGCAGCAGGGCGTGGCGGTAGCTTTGGCTGTTGCTGCTCCGGATGACAGAGAGGAGGACATTGAAGCTGAACATGCAAACGACCATTTGCACGAGTGAGTGAGGGAAGGGAGGGAAGCGAATGGAAGAGAAGGGAGAAGGGATGCTGGTTAGGATGCTTGGGATGGCCGCATGGGACGACAGAAAGGGAATTTAACGCTGATCATGTGAATGACAATGAGAAAATGCCCAAATGGAAGGAGCTGGGGAGGGAGCGTGGGGAGCCGTGGAATTTGCAGCACTGCATGAGATGAATATTCCCTTCTTGAGAAAGAGATGAGGTAGGAGAGTGGCGAGGCCTAGTTTTGAGGCGCCTCAAAACCAGTGGAATTGCATCACTGAATGTCATGAATATCCTGCTTGAGAAAGAGATGAGATAGGAGAGGTAGTGGCGAGGCAGTGGGGAGGGGACACGCCTTCCTCTTCCTCACCCCATCTTCCTCACACTCACATTTCCCTCATCCACACCATCCCGCAATACAGGGTGGACGAGGAGGCATCGGAGCAGCTGGCGCGGATCAACACGGAGGAGATGGAATGGATGGAGGTGGCGCGGCGAGCCATGGAGAGAGGCGACCACCGATGGCTCGGATCTCTACCTGCTTTCCACGTACACACAAACACAAGAACACATTCTCTCTCCTTCTCCCCTGTCATCCACACTGTCCGCCAATACAGGGTGGATGAGGAGTCAGCAGCAGCAGCAGCACGACCATCATCAGCAGCAGCAGAGGGGGAGGCAGCAGCTGTTCCAGTGGCTGCAGCAGCAGCAGCACGACCATCATCAGCAGCAGGGGGGCCGGCTGCAGCTGCTGCTGCAGCAGCAGGAAGGGGGAAGTGTGCTGGTGTTGAAGTGGGTATGGATGTAGCACAGCCATATGTGTTTCGAGAATATTCTCTGGCAGAACTCACCAAGGCCACGGGAGAGTGGGCTGAGGGGAACAGGATAGGAAGTGGTGGCTTTGGGGCTGTGTACAAGGCTGTTTCTCCCCACGATGGCAATCAAGCGTGGGCAGTCAAACGAGCTCGAGTGCTCACAAACGACTTCCATAGAGAGGTGAGTCGGCTTTGAGAATCCTAATAAAATTCAAGAGATAGGTATCATGTTGTGAGTTCTGGTTGGTTGGTACCACGTCCCTTACCAGCACAATCAAATTGAAGAAAGAGGTATCATGTTGTGAGTTTTGGTTGGTACCACGTCCCTTGCTGGATTCTTGTGCCAAGTCCCATCACTTGATTGTTCATTGGATTGTTCCTTCTCCTTTCATCTGTTTACCATCATTTTCCCCCCATCAGGTGAAAGAGATGGCAAGCAAGAGCCATCCGCATCTCGTGCGTCGCATCGGTTGGGCTACTGCACTGAATTCAATGTGAACGAATTGCATTCTCAGTATTCACATCTCTCTCCATGCTTCATCTCGTGTTCGTCCAGGTGAAAGAGATGGCAAGCAAGAGCCATCCGCATCTCGTGCGTCTGTTGGGCTATTGCATCGACTTTGACCCATCCACACGAACAATGGAGCAGCTTCTTGTCTATGAGCTCATGCCCAACGGCGACCTTGACCGTTGGATCGGACCCGGTGTCTCCAACCCTCTCTCGCTGCAACAAAGGCTGGACGTTCTGATTGGAGCTGCAAAGGGGTTGCAGTATCTCCACGATTTCAACATTGTGCATCGCGACATCAAGCCAGCCAACATTCTCCTTGATAGAAAAATGCAGGCATGCTCAAAACATCAAAGCTGAGTTGCATGTGGAAGACGGTGCTTTGTTCATCCGTTATGTTCATCTCTTTCAGCCATCACGTGATGTTTTGAATGGCCCAGCGTAGAGTCACATCACTTAATCTCCTGTTGCATGATGATTCTGTTGTTGTTGATGATGGGCAGGCAGAGATTGCCGACGTTGGTCTCTTGAAGGTGTGTGGTTTTGAGCCGCCTCAAACTAGATTCATGTTGCATGATCATGCTGTTGTCGTGGTTGATGATGGGCAGGCAAAGGTTGCGGACTTTGGGCTTGTGAAGCTGCTTGGAGGGACATCTATGGCTACATCTGAGGCTGCCACTCGACTGGTGGGAACACTGGGCTATATGGACCCTGAATACTGCAGCTCTCACATACCTTCTCCTGCTGTCGATGTGTACAGGTGAGTAGATTGGCACTGGGTAAGCACACATTGGTGCAGGTCAGAAGATTGGTACAGGTAAGCAGGTTGGGACGAAATAACCATCCAACAGGAATCTTATGTTTGCGAAAAGTCTCCAAGTTTTGTTTTGTTTTTACCTTCACCGTGTTTTCATAGTGGCTGTTCGTGGCTGGCATTTGAGGCATGCTTGCCATGCCTGACCAATCCAAGGCTCTGAAATTCTTGGCCACTTTACGATGGGGGTTTGGGACACAAGTATTGTGAAGGTCATATTGATGATGTTTTTTCTATGGAGACTGTCCAATGCGTCTTCTTGAGGTGTCACACGTGAGCATCGTTTCACATATGACGTCCTCTCTGGGTGCCTTGATTGCAGTTTTGGCGTGGTGATGCTGGTGGTGCTTACGGGGCGCAAGGCTGTGCTTGTTATAGAGGACGACCACGTCAACATCAAGAGATGGGTGAGGCATACCTCACACAAAGCCTAGAAAACGTCCAAATGGGGCACTAACACCATTTTCCTAAGTCCAAGTGCACTTCCGCAACTACACACATTGAATAGGTTTACTTGCTTACCACCTTGACCGGAAACGTGTAGGCTGGTTCATGTGATCCTCTCTTCCTTTCTCCACAGGACACATGCCATATTGAGCAAGGAGAGTATTACGATGATATCTTGTTTCACCCTGCACCTGTCACACAATCAGCGATCCTATCCTACTGCTGTCTACCTTGTTGCTCCTCTCCATAGCGCAGGCTCTTTCAAACTGCACACCCTTATTTCCAATCACTCACCCGTCCCATGCGTCTACATCCTCCTCGTTAATACACCGTTTTCCTGCTACCTATACTCTTATTCTAGTGTATTGACAGGTTCGCTCTTCATGCAACACTCCTGCTTTTAAAAAGCCTTTTTTGTATGCCAACTTAATTTCAACCTGGCAGGTAGCCCCACTGGTGATCTCTGGAGCAGTGGCAGAATTCAAGGACCCTCGTTCGGAAGCACCGGATGGTTTGGTGCTGCACTTGGCTCGCCTTGCCCTCTCGTGCACTGCTCTGCCTGGGGTTTCCCGTCCCTCCATGCTCCAAGTGCTTGCTGAGCTGGTGAGGATAAAGCAGGAGACGTTTGGGGTGCGGGCGAGCGCGGAGGTTTCTGGCATCGACACGGAAATTGGAGTTTCTGATGGCTCGTATAACTTCAGTGCTGAGATGGCCCGTGCGATGCAAGAGGCTGTTAGTGGCCCTCGACTACCCATCATTCCATAGGATAGGAGTAGTAGAACGTGCACCACTTTTGAGGCACCTCAAGGGCCCGCTATTAGCACACCGTAAGGGTACATGTTCTGTACTGGTACATATTCAGCATAGTGTAAGGTGCGCATCCTGTTTAAATCTGCTAGTGTAGTTTTTGAAATCTGTACCCCATATTGGTACTTACGAAAGATTTGAGGGGTGACCGTTGGGTAACAATCGTGACTGTTTATCGCCTTGGCTCTTGGTCGGGATGGGAAATTGGGGTTGCGCGAAAATTTACAAGCCGGAACGAAAGGAAACAGGTGAGAAGTGATGTGGCGAAAACAACGAAACGAGGGCGATGGTACCAGGCGAGGAGGAATTGCGCGGGAAAACGTGCTCAATTGTGCTGGCTGGGTGTACTGCGAACTCTCTTGGCTGCCGGAGCCGACACATGATTATCCGTGGCAGCCTACTCCAGGATCCTACATGCCTGATGCGTGAGCTCTTATTCTTGGGAAAACCTCTAGACGAGCCGCTAGATGTACTTATTAGTTCCCAGCATAACTTTTGGGAAGCCAGCCGTTTAGAAGTCCGAAGCTTGGCGAGTTCGGGGTAGACCTATTCTCGCAATTTGGTTTCCAACATGACCAGAATTCTCCTCGCCTAGGAATTGCTATTGCTGCTTGACTGAAACAAAACGTCGTTAGCAATGTCGTGTCGATATTAGTTAACTGCTAGGGTTCCACGCGCAGGAAGTGGCTTAGCATGCTTGAGTCATTCAAAAGGACGTTTGTAAGGAGTCGGGAAAAGCAGGGTAAGTCAGACGCAGCGTCGCACAATGCAGGCAATGCAGCAGCAGCTGAGGCAATTGCCGCTCGGGGGGGAGCGGACGCAGGAAAGGCGGAATGCTCGCATCCTTCTCCAGGCGGCACGAATCCAACGGCTCCCGCTCGTCGCAACTCGAACGAAGAGATTGCGCAGGCGACCTTGCCGCCTTTCGCGGAGCCGCTGCCGTTGTTAAAAGACGTGGGTGCGCAGGAGCAGCAGGCTCTATTCATCCGGAAGCTTCGCCTCTGCAGTTACCTCTTCGATTTTAACGACCCAATGAAAAACGTGAAGGAGAAGGAGATTAAGCGGCAAACGCTCCTGGAACTAGTCGGCTACATTGAATCCAGGAAATTCAACGTGGCATTGGGAGACATCAGGCGCATGCTGGAGATTAATCTCTTCCGGCCGTTAACGCGGTCCGCACACGGCGGCGAGATGCCCAGGCCGACTATGGAAGCCGCGTGGCCGCACCTGGAATTAGTCTACGAGTTCCTGCTTAGGTATGTCGTCTCTGAAGACACTTACCAGTCGCATTGCATCAACCAGAATTTCATCTTAAACCTGCTGAACCTGTTCGACTCGGAGGACCCTCGCGAGCGGAAGTGCGTGGAGACAAGTCTGAACTGGATTTACGATATGTTTAATGTTCACCGGCCGTTCATCCGCGAAGCGATTGGCAACATTGTTCACCGATTTAAGTTGGAGCGGCGTAATGGCATCACAGAGATTTTCAGGTTCGCTATAGTAAAAGGGTTTGAGCTGCCGTTTGGGGAGCAGGATAAGAAGTTCCTAGGCCAGGCGCTATTTCTGCTGCACAAGCCGAGGTGCCTGCATATGTACCACCACCAGCCGTCGTACTACTGCATCATTCAGTTTGTAGAAAAAGACCCGGAGCTTGCGGAACCAGTGCTGCGCGGGTTGCTTAAGTTCTGGCCCTTAACTGACAGCCAGGAGGAGGTGCTGTTCCTGGAGGAGTTGGAGGAGGTTTTGAAGGAGACCCAGTTGCCGGAGTTTCAGATGGTCATGACGCCGCTGTTCCAGCAGATCGCACGCTGCCTCAGCTCCTCGCACTTCCAGGTACGGTGGGATGTTTGTGGTGCATTGGGAGGGAATGTGAGGGGTTGTGAGAAGGTGTTATGGCATGCATTTTCACGCAGGCGCCCGAGTATCAGATGGCCACGACGCTGCTGTTCCAGCAGATTGCGTGCTGCCTCAGGCCCTCGCACTTTGAGGTACGGTTGGATGGGTTGTGTCGGGGTGTGGTGCAGTGCGAGGGGATGTGAAACGGTGGTGGGTGTGAGGGGGTGTGAGGGGGTGTGGTGGGGTGAGAGGAGGTGTGAGGAGATGTGAGGGTGTGTCATGGCATGCATTTTTTAGCGGACGCCCAAGTTCCTGACATTCATGACGCCGCTGTTCATGCAGATCGCACGCTGCTTCGGCTCCTCGCACATCAGGTATGACGCTCCTGCCCAATTAAGTTCAGATACGGTATGGTGCGGGTGCTATGCATTCTCGCTGAAGGACGCGAGATGTTACTATGGTCATGGTGCTGCTGTTCCAGCATATCGCATTCCAAGTTTGGCATTCTCAAAATCAAACTAGGGGTCTTTTTTTTGGGTGTACGTTATGGGGACGACATTAGGGTTTGGCCGATGTGATGGCTGCTGCCGCCTGTCTGACGCGTCATGTGGTTCGCACCAATGGTCCCCAACTTTGGTCGCTTCCCCCATCTCTCTTCTGCTTGTGTCTTCTTCCCCCCTCACTCTTCTGCCTGTGTCTGCGTCGCCTTCCCACGCGCTTTCTGTGATAACCGATTTCATTCCCTCTGATCTTCGCCCTGCCCTTCCCGCTCCCCCCTCACAGCTTCCCATGTCTGAGTGGCAATGGCCCATTGCATTGCCGTCATGCCCCATACATCTGCCTTGCCTAGGTGTCATGCCTCATAAGTCATGCCTCAGATGTCATCGTGCCTCATATGCCATGCCTAGATGTCATGCCTCATAACTCATGCCTCATATGTCATCGTGCCTCATATGCCATGCCTAGATGTCATGCCTCGTATGTCATGCCCCACATGTCATGCCCCATATGTCATGCCCCACATGTCATGCCCCATATTCCACCTTGCCCCCCCCCCCCCCCCAACCTTCGCCTTCTGCCTTCAGGTGGTGGAATAACGACTGCTTGTTGATGCTCGTGGCTCAGAACTCTTATGTCTCTCCCTCCACCCTCCCCCCTTTCCCCCAAACGCTATCCCCTTCCCCTTCTGTCTTCAGATGGTGGAACAACGACTGCTTCTTGACGCTCGTGGCTCAGAACTCTTATGCCTCTCCCTTCACCCTCCCTCCTTTCCCCCCAACGCAATCCCTGTTCCCCTTCTGCCTTCAGATTGCGGAACAGCGACTACTTCGTGGCATTTGTGGTGGCGCACATTACCGCTTCGTGTGCGCCCTAATGCTAAGACCCACGTGCCATACCTACCCATGCCCCACCCCGTGCCTGTTCTCCCCCCTCTTCAGGTGGTAGAGCGCACGCTGCGCCTGTGGAACCATCACTACATCAAGGCTCTCGTGGCTCGGAATCACACCACCATCATGCCCCTCATCTTCGCTGCCATCATGCTCAACATCAATCGCAAGTGGAAGCACCAGGACAGCAAGGTCTGGTGTGGGCAGTGAGCGTGGTGTAGTGCTTGGATTGTTTATGAGCTGTGGCTATGGCTGTAGCACGGACTGCCTATGGCTGTAGCACGGACTGCATGTGGCTGTAGTAAGGACTGAAGCCACCGGAACCGTGTAGAGTGTGCGCAGTGAGCCCTGTGTAGTGCTTGGATTGCTTCAAAACTCAGATGATCGATTGTTACAGCTGCAGGTGCAGATGAGCGATTGTTACAGCTGCAGGTGCAGATGAGCGATTGTTACAGCTGCAGGTGCAGATGAGCGATTGTTACAGCTGCAGGTGCAGTGCAGTGTAGGCTATGGCTGTAGCACGTGCTGTAGCCACTGGCTGACAAGTTGGCATTTGAAATTACCGAACCGAACCGGTTCGTAAACGAACCGATTTCTGGCCAGCTGGTTCAAGGTTCGTTAATTCATATAACGAACCAAACAGATTCGCCCAAACTGGTTTGGTTCGTTACCGAACTGGGCTGGTTCGGTTTTGCACATGAGTTTTGCTATAGTCACATCGTCTCTGGCAGAATTTCTCAAAGTCCCTTTTTCCAACAAAGTCCAGATCTATTCACAGAAACAGATTGCTCACAGCTCTAAGTGGAACCAGCTGGTATACGGTAAAGGTATCCCAAATAGGACAATTCTGGCAATCTCCTTCCCCCCCGTTAATCCCTCCCCCTCCTCTCCGCCCAGGCGGTGAACAGCTTGGCCACCAAAGTGCACAATACGTTTCTCGAGAGGAAAGTGGACGAAGTGCTCTACAACGACTGCATGCGCCTGTTCCTCGAAGAAGGGGGTATGAAAACGATATTATTTATTGATTAAGCTCGAATGGACTGAGGTACTACATATGTAGAGAGATAGAAGAGGTGCGAGGATCAATAGCGGTTGGTCAACATTATTGCTGTTCTAATTATGATGGTTGCATCTTGACCAGCATGATAGGGAACCCAACTTAACTAAAAATCAACCGCAAATTGTGGTCGGAATAATTCGCAGGTCGGGTCAGGACAATCAATGTCCTGGCACGGCCAGGTCGAGTCGGGCCGGCCCCGGCAAAAAAACCCAACCCGATGTTGAATTTCGGGTCGGGTCGGGTTGGGTCGGGTTTCGGGCTGACTGTGACTCGACCCGGAATCGGGTAAAAAACATTGCGACCGGCTCGGCCTTGACCCGACCCGGTTTTGTCAACCAAGCAGGTGCGCTTCATCCATCCAAACATCATGCCTCCTGCTCCCACTGCCCTTGTTCCATGGCACCCTTGCTCCCTCCTGTGCTTTCTCTTCTCCCTACTTCCTCGCCTCGCTTTCTTTTCTTCATTCCTGCTTTCCACTCAGGTGGTTTCTTCCTGCCTCTGCGCGTGCATGCGTGTGTGTGTGTGTGTGTGTGTGTGTGTGTGTGTGTGCGTGCGTGTGTGCGTGCGTGCGTGCGTGCGTGTGTGTGTGTGTGTGTGTGCGTGTGCATGCATGTGTGTGCATGTGTGCATGTGTGTGCATGTGTGCGTGTGTGTGTATGTGTGCGCACTGGTGCATGCGTTGGGCGGTGAGCAGCAAATGAGGGCGGTGGAGGAGCGGTGGAGGAGCGGTGGAGGAGCGGTGGAGGAGCGGTGGAGGAGCGGTGGAGGAGCGGTCGCGAGTGGAGAAGGACGAGCTCAGGCGGGAGATGACAGAGCAGCTGCAGCGTATGCAGAAAGTGCGCCACCACACTGCCTGCTCCACTTCACACACTGCACCGTACTCTACCGCATTCAACATCCATACCCTCACAGCTCTCACCGTGTCCTTCCTTCACCGCCCACCATCTACTATCCCCCTCACTCACTTCCTGTTTCGTCCTCTTACCCGTATCCCCTGCCTCTCCCACATCCCCCCTCCTCCTTTCCTCTCCCCCACACCACCCCACCACCCCACGGACCCACGTGGGCGTGCGGGCGTGTGAGGCGAGCAGGAGCTGGAGTGGGCGGCGGGGAGGGAGGAGCGGATGAGGCGGCAGCTGATGGAGGCGCAGGGGGGCATAGCGCACCGCGACGCCTTCCTGCAGTAGCTGCAGGAGGAGGCCGCGCTCTCCGCCTCCGCGCTCTCCGCCTCCGCGCTCAAACAGGCCGCCAGGGTGGGTGGGCTGGGGGGGAAGGGCTAAAGGGGAAGGGCGTTTCGCCTCACAAGGGTTGTGCTGCGCTGCCCGATGGGGTGGGATGGGGTGGCGCGGGTAGGAAATCACTTAGATGACTGAGTGCCGGCATGTTCCAGCAGCAGTGCATATTTCTCCATGCCTTACACCCTGCTTCTTAGTCGTTTGCATCCTCATCCTCCGCCACACCCCACCTTCTCCCCCTTTCTCTCCCCTCACCCCCCTCCTCCCCGGTGATGTGGGGGCGGCGTGGGGTGCGCGGTGACAGGAGCTGGCGGAGGCGCGCATGGCGGTGGAGGAGGTGGCGGGGCGGGTGGGGCGGCTGGAGAGCGAGGTGCAGCGCAAGGAGCAAGAGATGCAGCAAAGTCGCCAGGAGGCGGACGCTGTCAGGGCGCAGCTCAAAGCCACCCAGCAGGTCAGGACGCAGCTCAAAGCCACCCAGCAGGTCAGGACGCAGCTCAAAGCCACCCAGCAGGTCAGGACGCAGCTCAAAGCCACCCAGCAGGTCAGGACGCAGCTCAAAGCCACCCAGCAGGTCAGGACGCAGCTCAAAGCCACCCAGCAGGTCAGGACGCAGCTCAAAGCCACCCAGCAGGTCAGGGCGAAATCAGCAGTGAACACGTAATTGCATTAGTGACACTTCGCACCCCCTACTGCTTTTTTCATTATTGCTGAAAAAACAGTAATGCTTGTAACCGAAGTGCATGAGGTTCTTCTGGTTTGCCAGGATGAATTCTTGACATGGGCTCTAGATCTAGGGTTTTGAAGATAGAATCAGGTCCACAAGGAGAAGATGTTGCAAACGTCGACCTCATTCTCTTTCGTACATCGGGTTCGGGCCGAGATGGATTGCGGTAGTGCGCAGATGTGAAGATATATGGGTTGGGAGTGATTCTGCTTGGCAAATGGACCACACGCGCCATCCAGGCAGATGGATCTGCTGAATGGTTCTTTGTAACCGTGTTTCTCCTTGACCATGGTAAAGAATCCCAAGAAAGAAGGTAAGCCGGGTTTCATGCATGCATGAAACTCTTGCTAGGAGATCAGATTCGTCACTGGGACATTGCACATCTATACAACTTTGGTTTGGATTGGGGTGGCTTTGGGGTGGAGGATGCAACTTCTTTTTTTACGCCCCTCCAAAATGGTTTGGATCAAGGGTGCAACTTCTTTTTTTTTTTAGGTGCCATCATTTGGTTTGGATTTTTTTTTTTGAATGCAGCAGTTGCACCACCATCATCAGCAGCAGCAGAAGGGGCTGCAGCAGCTGATGCAGCAGTAGCACCACCATCATCATCAGCAGCAGAAGGGGCTGCAGCAGCTGATGCAGCAGTAGCACCACCATCATCAGCAGCAGCAGAAGGGGCTGCAGCAGCTGATGCAGCAGTAGCACCACCATCATCAGCAGCAGCAGAAGGGGCTGCAGCAGCTGTTGCAGCAGTAGCACCACCACCATCACCATCAGCAGCAGCAGCAGCACGAAGGGAGCAGCGTGGTGGTGTTGTGGTGGAGATGGAAGTAGCACAGCCATATGTGTGTCAAGAATACTCTTTGACAGATCTGTCAAAGGCCACAGGAGAGTGGGCAGAGGGGAACAGGATAGGAAGTGGCACATTTGGGGCTGTGTACAAGGCTGTTTCTCCCCACAATTGCAATCAAGCTTGGGCAGTCAAACGAGCTCGAGTGCTCACGAACGACTTCCATAGGGAGGTAAGTCGGCTTTGAGAATCCGCACAAACGAATTCAAAAAAGAGGTATCATGTTATGAGTTTGGTTGGTGCCACGTCCCCTGTTGGATTCTTGTGCCAAGTCCCATCACTTGATTGTTCATTTGCTTGTTTCTTCTGCTTTCATGTGTTCACCTTCATTTCCCCCCATCAGGTGAAAGAGATGGCAAGCAAACACCATCCCCATCTGGTGCGTCTGTTGGGCTATTGCATCGATTTTGACCCGTCCACACGAACCATGGAGCAGCTTCTTGTCTATGAGCTCATGCCCAACGGCGATCTTGACCGTTGGATTGGCTCCAGTGTCTCCAACCCTCTTTCGCTGCAACAAAGGCTGGACGTTCTGATTGGAGTCGCCAAGGGGTTGCAGTATCTTCACGACTTTAACATTGTGCATCGAGATATCAAGCCGGCCAACATTCTCCTTGACAGAAAAATGCAGGCATGCTCAAAACATCAAAGCTGGGTTGCATGTGGAAGTAGGTGCCTTGTTTTTCCATTTTGTTCATCTTTTTCTACCATCATGGGATATTTTGAACAGGCCAGCATAGAGTCACGTCACTAAATCTCCTGTTGCATGATGATGCTGTTGCGGTTGATGATGTGCTGGCAAAGTTTGCCAACTTTCGTCTTTTGAAGCTGTGTGGTTTCGAGGCGCCTCAAAGCTAAATTCATGTTGCATGATGATGCTATTGTTTGGTTGATTATGGGCAGGCAAAGATTGCGGACTTTGGGCTCGTGAAGCTTCTTGGAGGGACATCTATGGCCGCATCGGAGGCCGCCACTCGGCTGGTGGGAACATTTGGCTATATGGACCCTGAGTACTACAATTCTCAAAAGCTCGCTCCAGCCGCAGATGTGTACAGGTGAGTAGATTGGCACAGCACAGGTCAGTAATTTAGTGCAGGTGAGAAGATTGGGACGAAATAACTCTCTGATGTTTGTGACAGCTCTGTTTTCCTTCTCCACTAAGTTTTTTGCCCTTTTTCCGCCTCGTACATGGTCGCAGCTGCCCATGGTTGCCATTCCAGGCATGCCTTTCAAAGGCTCTGAGATGCATGCCTTTCAAAAGCTCTGAGATGCGTGCTTGGTCGTGTAGAGATGGGGGGCCTGGGACGCAAGTGGTTGTGAAGAGGACCATAATCGTGAGGATGGTTGTTTTTTCTACAATGATGTTCAATTCAACTACTGGGGCTGTCACACATGGTGTCCTTCCTGATTCCCTGGCTTGCAGTTTTGGCATGGTGATGCTGGTGGTTGTTACGGGGCGCAAGGTAGTGCTGGAAATAGAGGGTGACCACGTCAACATCAAGCGATGGGTGAGGCACTGCGTACAATGTCTAACATCATGTTCATAAGTCCAAGTGCACTCCACGTTGAGTAGGTTTGCTTGCTTTCAATTCTGGCCAGAAACATGAAGGCCTGATCATGTGATCAATTCTGCGTTATCACCTGCACTCCAATGCTACTATTCTATTGACATATTTTCTCTTCATGCAACACTCCTGAACTTTTTGGAGGAGCATGTTTCGTATAGCATATCTCGTATGGCATATCCTTTCGATCTGGCAGGTGACCCTACTGGCCGCATTCGAGGCCTCTCATTTTGAATCAAAATATTATTTGGTGCTGCACTTGTTTTGAGTTGACTCACAACTCTGCCGTATGCCATATCCTTTCAACCTGGCAGGTGACCCCACTGGTGAACACAGGAGCAGTGGCAGAATTCAAGGACCCTCACTTGGAAGCACCGGATGATTTGGTGCTGCGCTTGGCTCGCCTTGCCCTTTCCTGCACTCTGCCTGGGGCCTCCCGTCCCTCCATGCTTCTAGTGCTGGCTGAGCTGGTGAATCTGAAGCAGGAGTTGTTTGGGGTGCAGGTTAGCACGTGTGTTTCCAGCATTGACACGGAAATTGGAGGCTCTGATGGCCCCGTTGACTTCAGTGCTGAGATGGCCCGTGCGATGCGAGAGGCTGTTAGTGGCGGCTCCTCAACTATCATGCCATAAGATAGGAGCAGAACATGCATCACTTTAGAGGCGCTTCAAGAGTCCACTGCGGGCACGCCATAAGGGCACGTCATGTGCTGGACTGGTACTCCTTTATAATGACGCCGATGGTTTTCTATGCCTTTGTGTTTAGTGCATGGGATGGAGGGATACTGGGTGGGGCGCTAGCCATGCGAGAGTCAGCTTAAGAGGGATACCAGTAGCAGCTAGGGAGATGCATGGATGCAATGCAATGCAGCTTTATGCCCATCACCCAGCCTTTTTGGGTGTGTTACCGTAAGTTTGTTAGGCTATATGGAGGTGTATTGTATAGAATAAAACACCTTCTAGGGTTTGCCATATGGACCCATCTCCTGTTACTGTAGTTAGTTACACTCATTTTGTTGTACGAATTCTGACAAGCACTACCTTCCACCGACCAAAAGTTCGTCTTCTACTAAGCATCTAAACTCCTATTGCAACCACACAACGAACTACAATGCCCCCATCATGGGGTTTTCTACCACTTGCCAATAAGGCTTAGGCACGAATAAGTGGTCAATGAGGCTTGGGCACAAAGCCGTCGACAGCAAAGTTGCGAGTGGCGGAGGGCAGCTTGAGGCACAGCCCGTTCAGGTCCTTAGTGGCTATCACTTGACATCCCAGGCGCGACCTGTGGAGGAGCCAGGCGCAGCAGCCGCAGCAGTGGAAGCAGCAGCAGCAGCAGCAGCAGTGGAAGCAGCAGCAGCAGCAGTGGAAGCAGTGGAAGCAACAGCAGCAGCAGCAGCAGCAGCAGCAGCAGCAGTGGAAGCAGCAGCAGCAGCAGTAACAGCAGCAGCAGCAGTGGAAGCAGCAGCAGCAGCAGCAGCACCAGTGGCAGGGGTGGCAGGGGTGGCGGGGGCGGCAGGGGTTGCAGGGATGGCAGGGGTGGCAGGGGTGAGGAAGAGACGGGAGATGCGCACGTCCTCAGTGGCTGCGGGCAGCAGCAGTTGCAAGCCATCCAACTCCCTGGCCGCTATGATCTGACAGCCAAGGCGCGACCTACAGCAACACAAGCACACACGAGCATGTGGGCGCCGTGAGCTCAGAGGCTTGAATGGATGCAGGTGGAATGGATGCAGTGGGGACGACTCACGTCTCTGTGAGGCCGAAGGCGAGGTCCAGCATGTCGTTCTCCTCGTCCGTTGGCTCGGGCATCTTGCTGTACTGCTCCTCGTCCTGCCCACCCCGCATGGCATGGCATGGCATGGCATGGAGCATTGCACGCAAGCATGCATGGAGATTGAATTGAATGAGTGGCTCGGGCATCTTGCTGTACTGCTCCTCGTCCTGCCCACCCACCCCGCATGGCATGGCATGGCAGCATTGCACGCACGCATGGATAGTGACTGGCTTTTGTGGATGATGAATGGCATGTGTGGATGATCAATGACGTGTAGATGATGAAATGAATGTGCGGATGATGAATGGCATGTGTGGATGATGAAATGTGGATGATGAAATGAATGTGTGAACTAAGTTGGAATACACGCGTATAGCGTATATACGCGTCTCGTATATACGCTATCGTATGTACGCTATCCGCTAAGGGGCTGGTTTTGGACATACGCTATTTCGGGCAGGGGAAAAACTTTCCCGGGCAGGGTGAAAAAATGCCGTGCTCAACATCGGGAAGGTATTCCATATTCCCACTAAGAATTTCGTAGCATTCTTCTAAGTCGGAAGTGCGATTAGGGTGGGATGCGTAGTAGACACTAATCGGGATGAGCCCTGTTGGGAAGCGGGAAAGCAAACTATTGGAAATGACGAGTGCATTTGGGCTGGCTGGTTAGTAGCGTGAGTGGGGTTTGTTGGTTGGACATTTTTGACAGGTTGGAGTTCGTAGATGGGATGGGTTTCAATGCGGTACTAATCCAAATTGTAGATCTGAACTGCCAGACGCGATTGTAAGGCACATTCCCGCTTCCCTAGACCCCCGAATTGCATCTCGACTATGGCGAAATGCTCACCAGGAGATTCCGCATCTTTCCGTATACACACATTTTTTTCCCGGGCAGCCCCTAAAAAATTCTGAAAGCGTATAGCGTATCAGCGAGCGTATAGCGTTTTGCGTATGAACGCAAGCGTACATACGCTAAACGCTTTAGGGTCTGAGCGTATATTCCAACTTAGTGTGTGGATGATGAAATGAATGTGTAGATGATGAAATGAATGTGTGGACGATACATGGCTTCCCAATTATGAACCGGGATGACACGGTATGTGGATGGATGGCACGGGCATTGGAATGACAACACACCATGACGATGACGTGGCACGTGGAGCAGGCCAGTGATCCTTCACATGCACCTGGCACACACATGGCACACACATGGCACACACATGGCACACACATGGCACACACATGGCACACACACGGCACACACATGGCACACACATGGCACACACATGGCACACACATGGCACACACATGGCGCACACATGGCGCACACATGGCGCACACATGGCACACACATGGCACACACATGGCACACACATGGCACACACACAGCAGGCAGGCAAGAAGATTTGTGTTCAAGGAACAACGCTCACACACATCACTCTCAAGCGCGAGCAACTGGGGCCTCATAGAGTTTGCGTTGCACTTGATATGGATGCTAGTACATGAGGGCCTTGTGGCGAAGGTGGCAGCAGGGAGGGGCACCTTCAAGGTCGGCAAAAGAAGGGAAGGGGCACTTTCAAAACACACCTTCCAGGTCGGTGGGAGCAGGGAGGGGCACCTTTCAGGTCAATGTCATTGTCATGCGTGGCCTGCAGCATGTTGCTTTGAGGCGAGTCAAAACACACCTTCCAGGTGAGTACAGAGAGGGAGGGGCACCTTCCAGGTCGTCATTGTCATGCGCGGCCTGCAGCATGTTGATTAGAGGCTCGACTCACCCGAGAGATGCCATTGTCATGCGCGGCCTTTGAGGCGACTCACAACACACCTTACAGGTGAGTACAGAGAGGGAGGGACACCTTCAAGGTCGATGTCATTGTCATGCGCTGCCTGCAGCATGTTGGTGCTCACTGGCGTTTTGAAACGTCTCAAAACACTTATTCATACACGTGAAGGTGGTAGCAGGGAGGGGCCATCACCTTCCAGGTCGCTTGAACACACCTTCAAGGTCGATGTCATTGTCATGCGCGGCCTGCAGCATGTTGGTGCCCACCGGCACCTGCACCACCGCCTCACTGCCGTCCCTCTGCACGAATGTCACCTCGATGCTGCAGGCGTGCACCGCGGGGGTCACGCATGGGGCACACACACACACATGTATCCGAAAGCAATGAGTCGAATGGACAGGCATGAGAGCCCACCGGAACCTGCACCATTGCCTCGCTGCCATCCCTCTGCACAAACGTCACCTCGACGCTGCAAGGCGTGCACCCCATGCACGGCAGGTGGAGGCAGCATGCAGGGCGGCATGCACAGGGGGGACACACGTAATGAGTGGAATGGACAGGCAGGAGAGCTACAGGAAACTGTGGGCTATTGCGTGAGGACTCCTGTCTCATCGCGTCGGTCGGCAGTACCTCTCTTCTGCATCCTCGGGTGTGGAGTGCGAGGCAGGCGCAGAGGCGGCTTTAGATGCTGCTGCTGCCCTTGATGCTGAACCCCATGCTGACGCCAGAGCTGCCACACATGCACCCAGTGATGCCATGCACGCACCCAGTGATGGCACACATACATAATGAGAATGGACGGAGGGAAATATGATGGTGCAGCATGATGCAATGCGGTGGACTATGATGCAATGCGGTGGACTATGATGCAATGCGGTGGACTATGTTGCACGTGACGCTCAGATTCTGTAGCATCAAGCATTCGGAAGCTAGCGTCTACACGCTGGACGTGTCAAATTGGTTCGACGCTGGACCTTCGGGACAATACAACTTGGGCAGCTTGAAAAAAAAAAAAAAAAACCCAGCGTAAGAAATTGTCGTGCGATTTCAACGCGAGGGCACAAAAAAGCAACCCACAGTCATTCCCCCCCAACACATTTAAACCACTCCACATCTCCACTCCAACCAGGACGAGCCTTGATGCGTTAGGTGCAACATACGCAGCGATGCAAGCGAGGATGATTCCAATCACTGCAGACCCAAGCAGCCACCGCTATTTGCGATTCTGACATCCAACACCCGCCCAGCCACGCACCCATGCACGCTCGCACGCACACGTACGTGCCGTGCATGCACATATAGTGGGTGGGAGCACACAATAAGGGCAGCGCACCTGCAGGCGTGGTGAAGCATCTGAGGTGCTCCATGCTGTGGCCGCCCGCCCTTAGAGGTGCTCGCACCTCACACTCGCTGGGGTAGGGCGGATGGGGGAAGAGAGTGGGGGAAGAGGAGAAGCAAAGGGGTTAAACAAGGAACAAGAAGCAGTCGAGGTGAGTGATGGAGTGAAGGAGGTGGAGGTGAGGAGGGCGAGAGAGAGGAGGGCGAGAGAGAGGAGGGCGAGAGAGAGGAGGGCGAGAGAGAGGAGGGCGAGAGAGAGGAGGGCGAGAGAGAGGAGGGCGAGAGAGAGGAGGGCGAGAGAGAGGATGGAGAGAGAGAGGAGGGCGAGAGAGAGGAGGGCGAGAGAGAGGAGGGCGAGAGAGAGGAGGGCGAGAGAGAGGAGGGCGAGAGAGAGGATGGAGAGAGTGAGCAGCAGCGAGTGCGCACTCACTCACTGCTCTCTCTTGCCCCTCTCCCCAGAAAGCCAAACAGTCGCCAGCCCTCAGTCTAAGCAGCCCTCTCTTCCATGCCCACTCTCTTCCATGCCCATCAGCCGCCCTCCACTCACCTCACTCTCTCTTCCATGCCCATCAGCCGCCCTCCACTCACCTCACTCTCTCTTCCATGCCCATCAGCCGCCCTCCACTCACCTCACTCTCTCTTCCATGCCCATCAGCCGCCCTCCACTCACCTCACTCTCTCTTCCATGCCCATCAGCCGCCCTCCACTCACCTCACTCTCTCTTCCATGCCCATCAG